GGTGACGGTGAGGATGGCACAGCAGTAGGTGGTGACAGTGATGGCTGTGACCAGCTCACAAACCAGCCAGGGGATTGGAACTCTCACAGCGTTACAGATGATGGTGGTCATGTTGAGGACGAGGTAGAGTATGTCTGCCGTCAGGGTGTTGGCCACCAGCAGGTAACGTGTCTCCTGACGCAAGGCTCGGGACAGGACAATGCATGACACGAGAACAGGGTTGGCTAGCAAGGTGGCAACAGTGATCACTGTGGTGGGGATGAAAAAGTACTCCAGGTGCCACTGCCGCAGACTCTCCAACCATTCCTGTGTGAGGTTGGACATGATCAATGCTGACGCCATTATCTTTTGATAGATGCAGGCACAGATGCTGTGACTGAGGGGGGGTGTGTTGACTACTTCCTCCAGCAACCTTCTGGTGATGAAAAGACCAAAAATAATATCAATGTTCAGGCAGTATAGTATAGGCATAAGTATAGAGACTATTCTATGTAAGGTTATCATTGTATGCACTACTATTAGTGGTTCACCAGATTAAGGAGTGTAAAAACTCTATTTTATGAACTTTGATCTTAAAATAATGTATTTTATTGCGTGGAAAGAGCCATCTTGTTGTATTGCTGTTGTGTTAACGCGTGCACTGCTTTGCATTAGGGAAATGAGAAGCCATAATTCAAACATGAGGACACAGTAATAGACTGCCAATTGACTTTTATGTTGCGATGGAAAACAAATGCAAATGTTGTCAACGATTCTCTCTGTGAAAAAAGAACTTTGAAAAATTACTAAGTTTACTTATATACGCAAAAAAATCATCCTGTTGTCTAAATCATCAGCTTTGTCACTTATACAATCTTAACGACTTGTTACTATGAAGAGATGGATCACTCAATAACACTGGGCCTATCTTTATTTACTTGTATATACCATGTCTTTCCTTTTTTGGCCCAACGTTGTACGTAGTTAAATACACACAAAATAATATTTTTTAATAATATAATCATGATAACCGTACCACTGCCATCCCTTGAGATAAAACAGATATTCACTTGTTCTGACAAACATTTTCAGACATACATATAAACAAATTATTGATTGAGTAAAGGTACGTTATCCTACCTGATTTCCAGACCAGAAAAACCTCTCGGTGTTGCACATCCATTGGGCTTCGCACTTCTATAAATCGATAGATGCTTTGTATGACTCCTCTCACCCGCTGGCCTTATCTGCTCCACTGTTTACCCCTACAGATAATACAAGGATGGAGAAAGCGAAAACCACTTGGCAGTCACATAGTAACAGGGTGGAGCTTTCATACTGTTAGCTGCCCCTCATACAGGCACTTTATCAGGGATTTCTACCCAGGATGTTTCATATCTCATATAGCTTAATATGATTTGAGAACCAAGTAGATTATATTGTTAAGATTCACATTAAGCATCAAGGCAATTAAGCCTGAACAATTGCTTTGTGGGGCCACTGAAGGAAAGAATATATGATAGAAAATGTTCACACACAAGAGTTGTAACTATTTTTAACATAGTCTCGTCTTTCAGCCCTAACCTCACACTGCCGTCATCTTATTTTGCAGTCTGGGGCCCCCGAGATAAACCCAAACAAATCAACTTTAAACTGCAGGGTTCAGTGGTGGGTACATTAAAAAGAGAACAAGCTATGTAACAATAACCGCAACATTGTTTTCATGTGTGTTTTAGATTAGAATTTTCTATAGTACCTAATTACAAACCCGAAGTCATCAACCTGATAAAAGGAAACATTTTATTGGTTTATGTATCATTATCAGATATATCATTTCTCTATTCATCTAACTTCCTCTTTAAATCGAGTTTCCCCCTCCCACAGTGTTCTGTCATCTCTTTCTTCTCTTCCTGTATGCACTTTTCCCACTCTCCTCATCTTCTTCATCCTCCTCTTCTTCTTCATCATCATCATCACTATCAGCTTCAATGCTCCCGTGCAGCTGCTGCTCCTCCTCCTCCTCCTGCCATTCTCTCGCCATCAGTCTCTGAAACACCTCGTACTCCTCTGCTGAACCTTTGGCAACATCCGTGAGGAAAGTGTCCAGGTCAGATTTGAGGATGCTGTCCAGTTTGGAGTTGATGATAATGGTCTGTCCCTTCTTGTCGGGGGTTTGATACAGGCCCCTGCGCTCCAGAAAACAATGTCGACAGCGCACCTCCTCCAGAGTGTAACGGAACAACCTGGACTTCACCATGTCCGCCTGTTTGACTCCCATTCGGTAGTAGACGTACTGTGGAGAGATGAGTTGATACATGCTGTTAAAATCAACAAACAGCTGTTACAAGGGGCGGCAGTCTTTATATGTATCTATGTATGTATTCAGACCTACTGTGTATAGGTCGTGTCCTGTGCATGTGTGTGTATTGTAGTGTGTACATTGTACTCAAATCAAAAGAGGAACAAGTAACTTAACAAACATATGGCTATTTGGCATAAATCTGATTATTTGCGGCTAAATTAGGTTGTAATTCCTTATATTATAGTTGTGTTTTGTTTCTGTTTTCTTGAGACTGCATCTTAATCAGGTCTCCTAGAAACAAGTTCATAATGTCAATTAGACTGACTGATTAAATACAGACTAAATTAATATGAAAGCACAACATAAGCTTTGATTTCATTCTGTAAAGACAGCGAATTCACAAACCACACTGAGATTCATTCACAGCCACTGTTGCCCAGGAGATGTGGAGTTTAATTATGACCACCAGAGGGAGTACTACATCAGTGTCCTAACTACTACTTAGATTTAGATTGAATTTTGTTCACACACAAAAAAAATATCAGATTTGGTTTTGAGCGTGCTGTTGATGGACACTATTGTCCCAGAATGCATTAAATGGATGAGCTGTCCCGCAGCTGGAAAGAAAAGTGAATTTATGGATGATGATGATGATGATGATGAAAAAGCTACAGGAACACATTGTAAAAACTATTAAAATAGGAAATCTGTGGGGTGAAAATGTTTTCCGTTTGTAAAATGTAAATGAGTGACTAACATCTGTCACGGCATTTCCTGTTGGGGCATAACAATAAAATATGTAGATTTATTGTATACTGTAGGCTACTAAGAGGAAAAGTAAATTGTCCACACAGCATGTCATTATTGTCTAGTTTGAATTATACAATCTGTGTGAACAAGGGTATTGTTTATTTTACTTCTGCAGCCTTTCATGTGATGTTTGGCCAGGTTTTGTAGAAGTCAATACATTGGCTGTTTACTATTGGACCTGTTGCCTGTCTCTATACATATTGATTTAAATGTGTCTTACAATTTATGTTCTGTTTTCATCAGAGTGAATGCAGATTTAACAGTCACTCGATTATAAGGCCCATCATAATTTGTGCAGAGCCAATGGTTATGGCTTCAAATTCTGTTTTGCCCATAAATACTGACCTGAAACTTGTACTCCAGCTGCTCCTTGTCTTCCAGTATTACGGCAGGACTATCTCTCAGGATGTCTGTGACCTGCTGGGAAGTAAACTGGCACTTCTCCTTGAGGAACAGCACCATATGTTTTACTGTCTTCACAGGCACAGTCAGGATCTGGGGGAAATGGGAGACCACTCTCTGAAGACTGCCTAATGGGAAATAAGGAAAAATAGATGTTTGATTATCTTACAAAAGCCCCCAATATGACGTATGTCAACCTAAAGCAATTCTTCAACAATGTTATGACAAAAAAGATCATGATCTCACCTTCAACTAAACCTAGTTTCCGCATGTTTCCTATGCGCTGGTGAAGGTGCAATTCGTTGATAGTGTAAAGTTCAGGGCATTTCTCCAGAATTGTTAGCACACTGGAAGGTTTGAGGCCCAAGACGAACATAACTGTGAGAGTGGACAGAGAGTGTTTGGAAGCACTTGTTCCTCTGAGTTTGGAGGTGGCATCATATATATGCTCTGCCTGGGAGTCTGTGAATCCCATATCAACCAGAGAGGGGAGGGACAGCTCTGTGACCGGCTGCCTGGACAGAGGATGGGGCTCATGGGTGTGTTGTGGTGACTGGACAGTCCCCTGGCTGGTGGAGGAACACAACAATCTGCCCCCAGCGCACAGAGGCTGGAGCTGGCATCTCCCAAACTGAAGTGGGCCGAATACAGAGTGGGTGGCATTCCTCAAAGTCCACCGAAGAACCTGTAGAAAATAAAACCATGATTATAAGTTCAAGTTTACTGTTATGTACACTAAAACGTAGTTGTATTTAAATGCAATGAAATGCATCTGGTTTGGCTCTCACACACACTATAAGCTGTTACGGTATGTCCCCGTTTTATTTCTTGTAGTAGAATTATGATGAATAGTCCGAACAGAATAATAACCCCTGTTATTGCTGTAGAGAAGATACGTAAACAGAGTATAGCTAATAAACAGGCTGTTGTCATTAGCATGTTAGCAAACATGAAGGTTATAGCTGAAATGCGTGGACTCTCAGTGCTGTCTTCCACATGGTTTATCAACGCGGCTAATTGTGTAAAAGCTTCACAAAGTAACAATATTATTTTAAGTTGCTTTAATAGAAGAATTGGGATTTGAAGCTGATTTACCTGACTCGCAGCAACTCGGGTACCCATGCTTGTCCGTCGCTTGTAAACGTCCGTCTTTAAACCTGAACAGAGGGTGGAAGACAAAGGTTCCGCTGTGCTCTGCTTGCCTGTAAATTACCGAATACACTGAGAATCAGACTTTGAATCCTTTATATTTAGACGAACGCTGACCATTCACGATTTTACCAGAAGAAATATCCGACATGTTAATCGCCTTGATGCAGAGACAAAGGGCAAGACCAGTATTTGAGCTTAAGGAGACTGAGCATTTGCTATCTGCAGTTAGAAGCAGTCAGGCAAAGCCATCTGGTACTCCAATATTATAAATTGAATACAAACGGCTGTACAAAGAAATTAAAATAGGTTATCAGTGTTAGCATGACAGAAATGAATTAAACAATTACAATTCTGATCAACAGACGAGCCTTTAATTATTTAAAAAGGAATAACATTTGTGGTCAAATATTTATTAATGTATGTATAAATAGATAAAATATTGTAAATATACTTAGAAGTATAGATAAAAACACGTAAAAATCACCAACATAAAACAGACACAGAAGTTAAATCAGTAAAACAATTCCCTTTAACTTCCATCCAGTTCTCTGTGTGGTTCCTCTGAGGCAAACAACTCAAGGTTGGGATCACTTGTCGGTTTGGGTGGCAAAGCTGGATCCCATTTAACCATTACTATGTTTTAATGCCTCACCTTTTTCTAAATTTGAAGAATAAATTAAAAGGGAAAAAAACATACATCATGATGGTTTTGCTTTGTTTTGCTATGAGAAATGACTTATATGTCAAACAAGGACATTTTGATAAACATCTTCATAATGATATGAAGTCCATTGGTCTCTAAAAGACTACTGTCTGGACGGTAGTGTATGATTATGTCTTCGGACTAATCCATTTCTTCATTTTGCACTTCATGTCCTCTTTGCACTACAGCACATTAAAAGGTTGGACGGATGGTCGGGATGACACTCCCTTTTAACTCGGTTTTCAATCTTCATGGAGGTACTTCTGAAGCTCTGTTTCCAGGGCCACCATTGACAACCTGTCATCCTCATCTTCCTCCTCCTCCTCATCATCATCAGGAAGAGTCTCATCATGTCCATCGGGGAACAAGCCTTGACCGACGAACGCTTCAGGGCCAGAGTCCGGGTGCTGTGGTGAGCCTGCTTGAAAAGGGAAGGAGTACATAAGCTGCCTTTACATTTACTTGATATAGATATTATTCTTATTTGATTTGAGAATAAATACAGTCTTTCATATTTGATATTGTATGTGCTTTTTCCCAGTTTTAAAAGCTGAATTATAGTAAAGTAATGTCATTTTCTGGACTTACCAGACTGTTGTAGCTGTTCTATTATTTGGCTTAGTCATTATATCTGCATTACTGAGGATTATAAATCAATTAATTAAACTCATTGTTTAAATATAATGTGAAAGTACCATCAGTCCACCCTACAATATTGAAAGAGCTATTGAGTCAAAAAGTGTAATATTAGATTTTCTCCACATCACCAAGCCATAACATATATTTATTTAAAGCATGGTGGGAAAGGTAGCGATAATTTTAACTTGGAATTAAGACGAACACATATTGTTAAATGTGCAAAGAAAGGGTTAATCAAGTACAGGTGGAGGAGCACTATAGAATCTGAAGAGGAAAACACGGCCGGCCATTGTCAGTGTTAAGAGCACTCACAGTAGCACTGGGATTCAGGCACCACCTCTGTCCAGCTGTACTCTGCCATGGAGATGGGCTGGCTGATCCAGGCCTGCAGCAGCAGCTGGTCCAGAGTCATCCTCTGAGCGGGGTCAGGGTGCAGCAGCCCACACAACACATCATGCAGCTCTGAGAGACGACAGAGACAATTAAACACAGAGAGAAAAAAAATGGTCAGTTTTCTGAGAGACAATGATGGAAAACTATATTCAAGATTCAGGGCTTTAATGCCATGTGCACATTAGCTACAGTGTAGATATGGCAATGAAAAACGTAAGTCACAGGCTCCTCCAACTGTGCCACATGAATATATATTGAACATAAAACAAATAAAATAGTGCAAGAGAATGTTTTGAGATGTGCAAGTACATTCAAATAAATAAATAAAATAGAAGTGCAGCCTCCAGTGAAGAACAGCGGTTTACCTGGAGAGAGGGGGAACGGAGGCTTCAGTTTGGCCTCCAGGATCTCTTCAACACCACAGAAAGGGTTTTCACTGAACAGCAGAGTGTAGAGCAACACACCCAGAGACCACATCTCCAGCTTGGGACCCTCATAGCTAGGAGACAATGAACAAGGAGACAAACAACAATTACAACGAGCTTTCACTTGGCAATATCAATTAACATGGAAGCATTTTATTTTCCAGATGATTTAGTGTCTGCGTACAACTTTGTAAATGTTCAATGAATATTTCGTTGAGGCCACTTAGTTCATTCGTCACTGTAAAGGTTAATGAGTCATAAACGTTATACAAGACTGTCTTTAGAGCTATGAGTAAGCTGCGTGATCACAAGGACAGTTATTCCCCCTTTAAAATAAATCATCCATAGAAAAGGGACCAATATGGCTTTTTTCATTTGTTGCTAAGTGAAAGGAACAAACATCACTTGTCACTCTCAGGTATTATGTACGTACGGATTTCCCTGAAGCACCTCCGGGGAGCAGTACTCCAGTGTGCCACAGAAATTGTAAAAGAGCTTTCTTGGAGCCATCATGGCAGCAGAGCCAAAGTCTATGAGGCGGATGTGGAAACACTTGTCGATGATGATGTTTTCGTCTTTTATGTCCCTGTGAAGGATGTTCTTAGACCTCAGATAGAAGACGGCAGCCACCAGCTGGAAAGAGACAGAACCTCCAGTTTACCAAGAAACAAAAAAACACATCTAATTTCAGAGACTATTGTCCGGTAAATGGATTATAATGCCCGTGTGAATACCTGTCTGAAGATGTAGCTGGCCAGGGGCTCATCCAGCCGTGGCTGCATGTCTATGAACTCAAAAAGGTCCAGGCCATCTCCATGTTTCTCCATCACCATCTGGAAGTAGCTCCCGTTCTCAAACACCTCCAGCACCTAGTAACAGACACACATATAGGAGGGGAAAAATAGTTAAGCAAAATAAATGAAGCATTTTACAACTCATTTTATTAACCCTTGTGCATGAGTTCCTTTGATGTTCATTAATGACAACACATTTTTCAGATGTTTAACGCTTAACATGCCAGTTTGCTTACATTATCCACGTTTTTTTCTTGTTTATTTCTCTGACGGTATTTGTGCATGAAACTAGGATAATAATGCCAAACTTGGGAAAATGTTGGAAAATAGAAATAACCACAATTTTGTGTCCAGGGCTCTAAAGTCTGATATAAAAGAAGGAACCATTTTATGCTGTAATGGCTATGGGATAAAAAAAAAGTAGTTTAAATTGGGACATTTTTAACCTTAAGGATCTAAGTGTCCACTTTTTTGTAAGACAGTTTATTATTGACTTATTAGCAGAGGTAACATTAAAGGTGGGGTAGGTAATTTTGGAGAAACCAGCTCGAATGATTGGTCGTACTTTTTACAGTACTACGGCTTCCACAGATGAACATTTTTTAATGGATTCTTTGTCAAAGCACTTAAGATATTCATTGCTATCGGGATGTTAAGAGCATTCCATGGAATATAACAAAAAGTGTATCTCGAGTCGGTTTCTCAACCTTACCTACCCCACCTTTAACCAAAATTATCAAAATATAATGAACAAAAATGTCCCTTCCGAGGCAGAGATGTTAAAGATTACCTTGACTATGTTGTGGTGCTGAACTCGTGTCAGGATGGCGATCTCCTGGCTGACTCGCCCCAGCATCGGGTCATCCACCCAGCAGTCCTTCACTATCTTGGTCTTGCTAATGAACTTCACTATCACCTGCAAAATAGAAAAATAAATACGTCATTAAAACGGTCACATTACTTTCCAAAATCAGTTGAAATACTTTCACATATAAATACAGTAGCTGTGTATTGTATATACATGATTAAGATAGCTTTCTGAATGAATGTAAAAGGTTTTCTTACTTCTAGTCCATCACAGCGCCTTATTGCCTTCCAAACAAAACCAAAGGCTCCTTTACCCACAGCTTTAAGAGGCTGGTACACTTCTTCAAACTGTCCGTCACAGGCTCGAGACTGATCCAGGTCCATGGTGGTGTGTAAAGCCTCCCCGATTCTCTGAAAGGAGGAAAGCAGTAAAGAATTAAAAAAAAATGCAGAGTAACACTTTTGATATTTTAATAATATGAACCGGTGCCATCCTAACTTGTTATTAGAGTTTCTCACTGACCTCTCCAAGACTGGCTCCTGATTGGTTGTGCCGTGATCGATCTGTCTGCATGAGTGTCCCGGTCAGGCCAGGTCTCCTCATCCACACACAGAACATGGAGCTCCCATCAGAGAGGTCAGTCCTGCACACATCACACTGCACATCTGGAGAGAAAACAAGGTACCGGTTAAAGCCTTTTAGCTTTGTGAGGTGTAGATTTCTTAGGGAAATGGATGAACAGCTGTGATAGTACCAACCTACTCTTGTGCCATCTCTGTGGTACGCACATCCTTCGTATCGGCCCTCAACTATCTGTGTTGTGTCCGAGGAAACGGTGTGTCCGTTCCCCTTCTGTTTCTTAGGAGTAGATGTGGAAGGAATGTCCGTCATGGACTGAGTCCCACCGCTCATTGGCATGCAGAACTCTTGGCCCTTTTCTTTTTGAATTAAAGACAGAGCTCCCCACTGATCCTGCTCGCCCTGGTTGTTTTCTTCTCGTTCTGTACTTGCGTTTCTGGCTTCTACATCAGCGTTCCCAGGCTCCTCTTCGCGGTCGGACTCTACCACGCATGGGGAGGGGGTACGCAGGAGCTCGGCTGTGTCACAGGATATCATGGGGTGTTGGTGATCGTCATCGTACCCTCCGCCGCTGAGGAGCTCTACACTGGCGCTCAGATCTAAGTCGGCGAGGGCCCGGGTCACCAGATCCCCGCTGCTGTTCAGGTCCAGGAAGCAGCTGGCTGAGTCCACGATGTGTGCTGAACGAGAGTCCTCCGCCGGGCCCGGATCAGAACCACAATGGCCGGCAAACTTTTCGCAGAAGCCAGATGAAGACCTGGGAAATTGTGACAATAAATTGATGACAAAGAACTCCAACTGATGCCACTAGATCCTCCCAGAAATACATAAATAAATTCTGATGATGTTATTTAATCAAAAGGATATTCTGAAAATGCCGTGTCATTAACAAAAAGGGCTTCACAGCATCCACACAACATACATTTGGAGCTATATCAGTGGCTACTTGCCTGTTATTGATGCAAGTGAAAAGTTATCCAGTCCAAAATAGATGTTAATACTTTGTGGTTATCATGGAAGGATTCATACATTTTCATACATCAACAAATAGGCTGTTTAACAATAAAACATCAGATTGGTTGATAACATGCAGAAGAAGTTAAAGCTGGTATTTTGGTGCTAAAATGTGGTCAATAAAATGTCTTTAGACTAAGAAATACTTCGACCATTACCTGCTCTCTAGGGAGATGACCTCAAAGCTGGAGTCCTGCAGGACAGAGGCACATGAGCGGGGGTCTTTGCCTACATCAGGAGAGGGGTCATCAACTCTGCAAACAGCATGTCCACCCTGACTGTCTAAAGAGGTAGAGAAAACGAACAAAAAAATATCAATACAGTTCTTTTTAAAGACAAATCATCTCTAAAGTGTTTTCTCGTTGGTGCTTTTGTTTACTGCTAATAAGAAATGACTCCACATAATGTGAAAACTGTAGTTTAGTTTTTGGGTTGCAAGGAAGAACTAGTTATTAACAGTTCAGCCACATCATACCTCGGACCCCCTTGATGACAGGATGATTATTTTTCTGAACTTCACTGCTGTGCGGCTGTTCTCGGTGTGGTGGTTCAGTGGGAACCAGAAAGTAAGTCTCTTCTTCTGGAGGTTCCACCAAGGCAAATGTCTTGAGGAGTGCCTGAGTGGTATCTTTACTGTCCTGCTGGCTAGTGCAGAGAGCGACCTGGGCCGCCTCATCCATCAGCTCTGTGGTGTCATCAGCCCTGAGGAAAGAACGGTTGGATTTTAATATAAGTATTTAAATTCCAGTATAATAGGAATTGAATTACATTTTGTTGTGATCACAAATGCAAACAAACAGATATGTTTAAACTTGTAGATGTTGCTTATAAATCAGTGCATTTATATCTCTGACTCTATATAAAGCTGTGACACTATTTGTCCAACAGGTGGCAAGAGAGGGGAGCATTAATATATGAGTCTTCATCTTCCATTATCACAACAGGATCATTTGTTTATGTTCTTAAAGACAGAACCATTATAAAAAAAATCTGATCTCAGGTGATCTCTAAAACCATTATGGACCATATTAAACATTTAGAAAAGCCAAGGGATAAACATTGGGACGCTGTAGTTTACAGAGTGTCTCTTCTGGCTGGTAAATACACAGAGAAGGAAACGGGGTCCTCTAGAGTTGTTGTGTTTTTATATTTACTGCCAGGCTCATTAAATATACATGCAGTCTGCAGCTCTTAGGTCCCTGGATATTGCTGCAGCAGCTTTTGTCTAGACTATTATTTGTACAAATACAAAGAACACAATAATATGGTCCACTAATAATCCTAATGTCTGCTGGCACATGGTTTTCTGTGCAGGTTAAACAAGGTTATGTTGTAGAAGTGTATTATGCTATATATCAAGTCAGTGAGTAAAATAAACGTTTAGGTAGCATAGACAAGGACATTGGGATTGCTGCTTACATGAGGACTCGCGTGGAGGTGACAGCAGGAGGAGAAAGAGTTGACAAAGTGTTCCCCGGTTTCTCCAGCCTGCAGTCCGTCCCGGTGAAGATCCGTCCTCTGCCTCTGGAGGTTCTCTCCAGGACCGCCTGATGCACCATGGCCATGTCACCGGCCACCAGCGACGAGGGGTCTGAGGTTTAAGAGAGCGAAATAAATATTGAATCTCACAGTTTAAACAAAAACCAAACAACATGAAAACACACAAGAGGATTATTAATAATATTATTCAATTGTTGTCAAATTGTGGATGTGCTGTGTGGCTGTCTGTGGGGGGGGTTGTTGTGCATTGTTCTGTGCTTTGTGTTAAATGTGTGAAATTCAATAAAGAGTATTTATACCAACAAAAAAAAACGCACAACAGGAATAAATCCAGAGCATGACATGTGAGGTGCATTTGGGAAAAAGGCCTAATTGGACAGTTTAGACAAATCAGATATTTTTAGAACTAATTATTCTGTTCTGTAGGGTTGTTTTAGTCTGGCACTAACTAAGCCACCTCACCTCGAAGTTTGAAAACATATAGTTTAGACGTATTACTGCATGCGGATTGTGAAAAAGCTGCCACCTTGTACACATCACCAATACATTAAAATGCTCACCATATTTCCCTGATACTTTGGATGAGGCTTTACTTTGATCAGCCTCTGCTTGAGAATCGGAAAAGGAGATGGCCTTTCTGTCCGGGTCAGACATCCACCCGTAGAAGCCGGGCATCAGAAAAGTGACACTCTGTGGATGACAAAGCAACAGAGACAGAAGTGAGATTTGTCCCGGTCGTCAATCCAAACAGCCTCGTTCAGACGGTCGTGTTGGCTGACCTTTCCCATCAGCTCGTCCTTGTCGTATCCAAACAGTCTGAGGGCGAGATGGTTGTGGATGCTGTAGATCGAGCCGTCAGGGCGGAGCAGGAGGAGACTGCTGAGAGGAGCGAACGCCCAAACTGTTCCAGAGTACTCCAGCGCAGGGCCTTCTGGAAGAGTGGAGACGAGTGGAAATAGCACAAAATGTTACTAGCAGTTATTAAAAAGTGTATTAGTTAGCATATTGGAATGGTTAGAAATGCAAATACCTATTCATAATTGGTATGAGGATGCTATTCAACTAACACACACTACAGAGGGTGGGCATGTAGACAACATTAACTCTAAAAGTTGTTCAACTTGTATTTTTAGTATTAGTATTATTCTGCGTGATAGTGTATGAGCAGTCTTTGCTCATTCTCCTATGAAAACATCCAAAAATGTCATTTCATTTTTAAGTGAGCTAAAAAAACTAACACGATTTACATGATTTTAAAAGTGTTATAATGTTTTAAATGCCATTGAAGAAGTACACACATTTTCTAAACTTCATAAAAGGAACATTTCATTTTTATCTGAAAAAATGTCAAATCACTAAATTTGGAGATGCATGGTTTTCATAATGCTTATCTTTTTATATTTATTTTCATCTCGCATCGTACTAGTTTGTTAATGCATATTTATGTTTGGCATGATGAGGGGCCATTTCTCTTGACACAAAACAAATATTTTAATGTTGATAACTGGCATTTAAATAAAAACCCAGCTTTCTTTCAGTGCTTGACAGCTTCTTAAAATGGTCTTTACTTTGCAAAAAAGGTTTTACATTATCTTGTCAGTGTTCTGTATATTTGTATTATAATAAAAGGGTTTCCTGCAGGATGTTTAGTGCTTAAGAAGTATAACTAAGACAGTAGATAATGCACCAGTCTCTCCGGAAAATATATTGAGTGTTTTTTTAATTCCTCTTTGATCTTGCATTGTTTCTTTCAAACTGAACACCTTACCAGAGGATGGCTCTTTGGGATTTGAGCCTTCTGACTTGCACACAGATGAGTTGAGAGAAGAGAGCGGCTGATTGTCCGGTGTATTTGATCTTTTCAGACTCTCTGATGGGCAGGTGAAACCAGTCCCATTGTTTTTGGGTCTCCCACATGCCACTGCCCCCTGAAGTTTGACACACAGTGGGACTGATGCACCCCCTCTGCTTTTCCCACAAACTTTCTGAACCCTCAGCATCTGAAAAAAAAAGGAAGAAAAATGAAGTTTAAAGATGACAGGCTTACAGAAATACCTGAGCTTAAAATGTTGAGGGATATCATGTTTTTTTCTCTGTGCTCCTGAAAGGTCTGAGATGCACACCGGTAAACAGAAACTTGAAAGCAAAGATTAAAAAAAGACTTACTTTTGGCAACGCATTACTGTGCAGAGGGATTTGTAAAGAGGGGATTAGCTCCTTCACAGACACCCCTTTTAACTCGTCTGGATGGTGGTATCCATGGAGATGGGCAAACGCCAAGTCACAGGTTAGGATGCTGCCCTAGAAATGACATCAAAAGTGAAGCAAAGCATGAGTTAGAAATGGTTATATCGCCAAGGAGCATTCAGTTGAAGAAAGCAGGAATTATTGTGAAAATGTCCTTACATCTTGTGAAAAGGACAGAACAGCTGACACCCTTTCCACACCCTCCATCATTACTAGCCACGGCTCCTGATCTTCTGACCATCTGTGGGTACACACTGACACCGGCACCTCTCCAGATGATGTCACAACATCCACCTACAGGAGAAGTAGCATGTTATACCTTCAAAACACACACACTTAAGTGTTTTTTTTTTATAGCATATTACATACCACTTTTCCAGACACAGCGGCAACAGTTCCATCCACAAGCACAAAATCTTCTTCCAGCGCTTCTTCCAAGACCTGACTTGTTTTCTTCAAGATACAGGACAGCTTTTTTCCAATCACTTCATTGGTGAGGCACTCAAACATTTTGCAGGCCTGTTCATTTGCTGACAAAATCTGAAAAATAAAGATAGACAAATGTACAGTGCATGCTTTAGTTAGAGTACTGACTAATTCTTCTTATCCCCAAATCGACACATTAAGAGCACGAACAGTACCTTTCTGGTTTTATGGTCAACCGTAAAAATGACTTTATGAGGGTTGATTGCAGATGGAGATTCAGACAGGCCAAAATCTTCAGAGATAAGCTGACTGAACAGGTTTTCCTCTGTCTCTGACACAGTGGCCGGGTGTGGCAGGGAGACAGCAGAAACTTGGGAGCCAGGATGTAAACTAGAGATTTGGAGGTTTCTTGTTGCAACGGACGTGCAAACATCCACATTTTCACCTGCAAGGAAAACAAATATTTTTAATAAACTCGCATTTTCTCTCATCTCACAAATAGGGCTGCAGCTAACAATTATTTATTTTAGAGTAGCCTTGTTCAAATAGCTCGAAGGACCTCAAAAAACCAAACATGTTGAACTTACTTTAATCAAAACATACAATATACTGTTTGGTCACATTTGGTTGAGAATCCTTTTAAGGACAACCAATTGTTATGGCTGAATGTGTGTTGATTGATTGATCCTGTTACATCGTAAGTTACACCCACCTATCAAAGAACCACGATCATTCCGACGGTGCAAGGCCCAAAGGTTCTTCTTGTACATCGGTCTCTGAGAACATGGGTAGGACTTATTGAGGTTGAAGTCATCCTCCAGTAGACCAGAGTAGAGGGCGGGCACCACACAGATAGTTTCTCCTTTAGCCCTGCTGCTGTGGCTGACCCCAAAACGAGCCTCAGATGACAGCGGCATTGCTGTTAGTTATCCAGCTGGGATTCACAAGGATTGACCCATAAAGAGAGAATTAATGGATGGCAGCATTGTAAATGTGTGCTATTACAGGCTAGCAGAGGTGGAAGAAGTACTCAGATCTTGTACCAAAGTAAAAATAAAAGTACCAGAGTGTAGGAGAAGTACCAGAGTGCAGGAATACTCTGCTACACGTAAATGTCCTGCATTCAAAATGTTACTCAAGTAAAAGTACAGGGTATTATCATCAAAATATACTTATAGTACCAAAAGTAAAAGTACTCATTATGCAGATTGTTTCCATTTCAGAATAATATATATTATATGTTTTGATTATAATAATGTATGCATTAATGTGTTGGGTTACTTTGTATGCTGCAGGGTAGATTGTGAATTTAGTTTACTCCAGGTGTAACTTAATCTGATTTAAGTGTTGATTACATTTCACATCATTATTCCAAATCTGCAAAGTAACTAAAAGGTATTACATTAATTTAGTGGATTAAAAGTACACTATTTACCTCTGAATTGTAGTGGAGTAGAAGTACCAAGTAGCAAAACATTAAAATACTCATGTAGAGTATCTCAACATTGTACATAGGTACAGCACTTGAGTAAATCTACGTAGTTACTTCACAGTTCACACTACTGCAGATTTGCTAATTACCACAGGTAGCCAACAGAGAAAATGTTCCAAGTTGATAATATAGGATTTGCTTAGGTTTTGGCGTCTGATTTGTAAGAGTAAGTCCGAAACACTCACCTCAACACGTAAGAATAAACTCAGCAGCTTGTGTTTTCTGCCAGGCCACAGCAGCTTCAGTTGACGGTTGTTGACAAGGTAACGTTACCTCCCCTGAGCTTCCGGGCTAACTAGCCATCTGCTAACGTGAAACAAACAAAACGATGATGCCGTGCGGTGTTTGGATCGGAAATTACAGCGTCTATACTGCAATTTTAACCACTGTATTCCAAGTTGACGTTACCGTGGCGTGAGCACAACTTTGACACCATTCCAGCAGGTTAGTTAAGGTAGAAATAATGATATTTTTACTAATTCACGTAACGTTACTCCAGCAGTAGTTTTTGTAAACCGCGGGCTTCAAGCGGTAGCCGAGTAGATTCAAGGAAGTGCCTCGAAGCCAATCAAATATCTCGCCTCTGAACAAGAACACCTCATTGGATGATTCGCTAGAAACGCCCGCCTTTGTATCCATAGAAACCGTGTAACAAAAACAACCACATAAGATTAAATAACATTCCTTCCCTGTTGCTATCAAATATACTCGTTTTATAGCAGTTTTTTCCTGTGTTTTAAAAAAAATTCATGTTAGATTTAATACAATTTGATTTCACATATTTATATCGAACTTAATTGTGATGATGTATCTGCAGTATCTGCATTATGAAAAGAGCTTTGCTCTCTTGCAGGTTTCCCCTGATCAAATAGCGGCTAATAATTAAAAAGAAGAAAATGCATAACATCAAAAAAATATTTTACACATTATTTTATTATAAAACAGGAAGACACAGACGAACCCCAACAGCAAACAGCAGTAACTATACGGCAGAGTTGTTCAAGTCACAGGTTATTTTCTTTTTTTTACTGCGGTTTACAATAACTCAGCAAACAAGAAGTCTACGACTAGCTTTGTTATTTAAATTTGTTAGGGGCGAAAGTTAGAAGGCATCCATAACATTAATAGAAAATTACTATATATTCTAAAACCTATTACATGACAATTATACGCTCTTGATATGTATGTATACATCTTATGAAGGACACCAAAATAAACGTTTGACATAACAAAGAACAATTCATTATGTAAAACTGGCATCTGTGAGAAATTGGGTAAGAGATCCAGGTGCAATGACTGCAGGGGTCCATATGTTTTTGAGTCTCTTTATCAGCTACATGGCTTTGTTTGCTAAATTCACCATCTCCCCCTCAGGAAGATCATCTACTCAACTTCACCTTGGCAAAAGTTTTATCCACAACAAACACTGAAATTAAATTAATCCGATAATCTCCTCACCGACAGAAAGTCTGGCACAGTTCAAATTAAAATGAGTTGGAGGGGCACAATATGGACGTACACTTTGCTGTACTTTTGCATCAGTGAAAACAAAACAAAATACATCGCAAAGAGATGAAAAGGTTATTCTGGCACAGCTGCTTAGTTAGGAAAATATATTTAACAGTCAGTACAGATGTTTTGATAGATATTTTATTTAAACTTAGCTCTCTTTGTATCAGCAACAACATTGTGAGCAGAACTTTAGTTAATCCAGTAGCCTACTCTCATAACTCAAAATGCTATAAGAACAGCTCAAGCTGCGTTTGAAATGTAGGCATATCATCCAATTGCCTGAAAACAACCCCAATTACACTTAATTATTGATTTTTTTCGTCACATCAAAAACATCTAGTAAGGTAGATTTGGGTACATTTCGAAACACCTTATTCTTTTTATGATACTGCACCGCCATGAGCTTAAGTGATAGTTTGTGTACAATAGGTGCCTATTAAGTTTTCTTTTCTAAATGCAATGACACCCTTTATTCAGAAAATGATGATTGCTGGTAACTGGCACATGCTTGTTGCAGCCATCTATTTTCCATAATCTAGTTTTATGCTATTTTAAATTTGGTTCTAGCAGCTTGTTGGAGCGGATGAGGCTTTCACTCCAGAAATGATGTTGCAGGATTTTGTAAATGTTGTCTAGTCTAGGGGCCAACTGCTATAGATGTAGCATGCATGTTATGTCAGGTAGCTCACTTTACAATAATGATACTGGCTGATCTTCTTAGAGACAGGGAGCCAAGCAGAACACTTTACACATTCAAACATACAGTCATACGCGCACACAAGCAAAGTCGGGCACGCACTTAGAGTGCCATGGCTGATAGCTTTGATACGTTTTTAGGAGCATAGTTCACTGAAACAGGGTCCATTTTAATGGTGGTAGTCCTTTTTACTGTGAGGGCGATTTCCCAGTATATGATCAACTTCTGTGGCAATGCCTGGTGTCATCTTTGGAATTACCTGTGATGGACAAAACAAAGAAAGAGCACAAGATCAATGCTGACCAGTAAAGATAATGACATAGTTATTCAGTATTATTCAGAATAAGGAAATGTTCTTTATACCAGAATGGCTCCCAGGTTCTCTGTTAGCTGGGTTGGATTGGAGGATCCCAGCAGCACTGAGCTCACTCCCTCGTTCCTCAGGCACCAGGCTAAAGATCAGGGATAGCAGGAGTTATTACAGTGATGTAGTGGTTTCAAAGTTTTAAGACAGTATGAAGAAAACATGAAATTTAGCAACATCTTTAATTGCTTAATTGCAAGTAGGGTCTTCTTAGGATTTTCATGTTGTCCCTTACCTATGGCAAGCTGTGGCAAAGTACAGCTGAGCTTCTCCGCGATAGGAGTCAGTTCCTTTAGCTTGGCTTGTTGTTTTCTCCCGTCCTCACTCGTTACTTTCTCCTTCAACCACTGGTATGGCTAGAGGAGCAGTGAAATAAGAAGTATTAGAATTATAACCCAAAATAAGGCAAAAATAACGTTTAATAGATTATGTTTCTTGTTTGTATTGTTTTTGTTGGATAAGAGTGAAGAAATTGGAACATAGACTAGCAGGTTGGAAAAGATTAGCTTTTAGCTGTATACCTTCATTGAGGCCCTGGAGGTTTCCGGGACACCATTCTCGTACTTCCCAGTGATGATACCACAGGCCAAAGGTGACCAGGACACTACACCCACACCTGAGAGAGGTCAAAAGTCACTAAGCAACAGCCCAAAAATCTATCGCCGCCCTAAATATATCCACAGGAACTAACTTTAGACTTACCTATCTTATGGTAGAGCTCTGGCAGCTGAGTTTCCACCTTGTCCCTCTGGAAGAAGTGATACTCTGCCTGCTCACACACTGGTGGAATTAGATTGAACTGCCTAGCCACAGAGTATGCTTCCTAATTGAATGTAAAAAGGGTAGAAGTGTTAATAGGATGAGGAACGATGTGCAGCGCTGACCTTTATGTTAACAGATTTCATTTGTTTCTCCCCTGCTCTATGTTTAGCACAATGTGTTATAATCAACAGCTCTTTTTGGAAATCATTGTCCCCTTCTAGAGTACAAATAAGTAATGATAGCTTTATCAGTGAGGGAGGACAAAATTAATATCAAGATTAACACAAGATCCCCCTATGTCCTCCGTATTAATATAGATGTACTACTGTACATTTCATTTTACTTGTGCTGTACTCTGTGCAATGACAATAGAGTTGAATATAATCTAATAATTAAACATCTGTTTAGCCTTTGGATATCACATGGGAAATGGTCTAAGTGACGATTAGCTCATTAAACTGCATAGCAAACAGAAATGGTGACCTTTAACTGCATTTTCCCATTTCTTATTGTTTGTAATAATATATATATACGACAAAACATTGTTTTTACCACTTTTTTTAACCACACACAATACGTTTTTCATCACTCACCATAATCTCCATGGCGGACCACCGTGACGTCCCCCAGTACATGGACATCCCCTGGTTGATCACATGTGTCATTGCTCTCACTATCTCTGTAAAAACAAAAATATAAAGAAGCAGATATGTCCATTATCAATAATCAAACAGTGGATGGCGCCACAGTTGCAACTTTTTAATAACCTGCAAGAAAGACCATCTTGAGCAAGGTTTAAGTACTACCAGATATCTAAAACAGCCTTTGGTAAAACTAGCACCTTCAGAACAGTAACAAAAAACGGTGCTACTTGATATGAATAAGCCTCTTTGTGAGAAGGGTTCCGGTCCCTTTATACTCATGTGTAAGCAGATATTCTTTGCTGGGGTTCATAAGACTTAATTTGGCCCAACGCTGCAGGGGTTAGATGAAAAGACTCAGCCAACCTTGGCAAAATGTTGCTTGTGCAGTTAAACAGATCATAGTTACAGCTGTGGGGGTTGATATTAGCCACAGTGGCCTTTTGTGGTTTGTGTATTTGTGCCTGAGGATGCAACAAGAATTGGTGGGTGGAATGGTGGATAAGCAAAATGTATTTAATAAACAATTCTGTGAAGTTCTTTCTCTAAGGATGGACGGATGATCTACAGCTATTATTTTGAATGTGTTTCGTTGTATGATGTGCACAAACTCTCTAGTCACTGAAGAAAACAACGAGGCAAAAAGTAATTTATGAATACAATAGTCTAAAATTGCTTGCGTTGGTTGGTAATTGATCATAACCTACTACAAAAGTGCAGTGAAGGTTGTGAATGCAAACAAAAACGGGAAGACTCAAAATGAGGGTGAAGAGACCACAGCAGTGTGATTAAAAAAAGAGCGATTCCTTTTCATCAGTAGTTCTCTCTCTGGACCAAAATGTAGCTCAGTGAGAGACAGAGAGCAAGTGTGTGTGTGTGGGTGAAGCATGTGGGAGGAATAACAGTGCATCTGCTCCTTAAGTGAAGAGATTTTGAGAGATGTAAGGACAGAGTGAACCTCAGTGGCGCATTTAGTTAATAAGAGTTTGTGAGTATATTCATTATCGACCTGAATGACATCTTCATCCATAGCAACCTGCATTTTAACATACTGGTCAGACTCATCATACATGTTGTCTTCATGAGGCCGCAGTGAGTCATCAACAGCAACATCAGATGCCACACAAAGGGGAGATATCCAGCGATTATTAACACCCCCTCACCCAAGCCCACTGCGGGTGTTCAAGGAGGATGACGTGGGCAAAGTTGTGGGCATGAACAACATGGACTGTACTAGTATGTTCTTGGCTGAGGAGGTTGGCTCTGTCTGAAAAGTTAACTCATTAAAATTGTTAACTTCTTTTCCGGTGAATTGTTAACCGGAAACTACTGCCCTGATCAAAAATAATCACATGAAAAGACATGAGAGTGTGTCCATATTAGTATCATGTTGAATGCTTGCCTTAAAATAATGAAGCATTACCATTTTGTTAAAGGGGACCTATAATGCAAAATGCACTTTTGTACGTCTTTTATACATGAATATGTGTCCCCGGTGTTCCAGGGAACTCACCAAGTGTCAGAAAACACAACCCTCTCTATTTTCCTCCATACCCAAATCTCTAAAAAAGGGGCTGCAACGGATCTGATAAAAACTGATCCAGATTTGAACACTGTCCTGACGTCAGGACAGTGGCGCTACGGCTATTGGGCCAACTCCACCAATCAGGAGGAGACAGCCACGGCCATTGCCGTTCGAAAGCGCTGGAGACGCTGTAGTACATATGCCAGGCCTGTAGATGGTGCTGTTCTCACATAATCTGCCCTTGCAAAAACAGAGCTAAAAAATGTCAAATTGAGCAAAATGAGGCATGGCTAAAATGCATGATCTGTTTGGTATTTTGAAAAAAAAAAAGTATAAATATGCCTTATATAGGTATGGTCCTACACTATATTATTCAAATATAGCATGATAGGTCCACTTTAAGTAATCTGGGTTCTGACTGCATTTTGATATACTAAAGAACATTGTTAGGAATTAATACCTATATGTGTGATATTGTTATAAATAAGTAAATAAACTGCGTCTTTATTTTAGCGCAAGTAGTGTGGATCAGCGTAAATCATCCAGGGGAGTTGCATTAAACCGAGTTGGTCCTCAATTTGAAGCTAGTATTTTCCCTAATGTATACAAACAGTTTGGTGATTATTGTGCCATGTCACAGTATATTTATCAATGATTGATGAAGACCTTTTTAATCCTATTGTCATGGAAAAGAGGTTTTAGAATGTGCAGCCGAAGTATTAGATTGAGGTAGTGAGATGGTAAGATCTCTGAATGCTGGCTTTATTACTGAACATTTTAAGAAAAGTGATGTCCTTCCATTTTATGGGATGTCCTGTATGGACGGCTTAGGGTTTTGTGTTCAGTATGCGGCGGCAGTACCCTTTCATTTAATCTTGTCTGGAGGGATTTCTATTTGTTGATGTCATGTCTGCTCTGCTCCTCTCTCTGATATCCCATTTTGTATTCAATCTGTCCAGGGGATTTTCATATTCAGTTTATTGAAAGAATTCAATTTGCTGCATATTGCACTGTCAGAAAGAGTGACTGGAGAGCAGATCTGAGCTGAGATCCAATAGCAAACCCTGCAGGGGATAGTATGCCTATTAAAACAATGATTTGACAATGGCACAGATGATTCTCCTTGGGGCACATTCCCATCATATTTGCTATAATGTAACTGCTTTATTAAGTTCACCATTTGGCGACATGTAAAAGGACATTCCTAAGCCTTTAATCCCTGGGGAAAAATTCACATAATCTCATCAATATGAGTGACAGCAGTAATAGTAAAAAGCAATATAGAACAGGAGAGGGGTGTCAAATCAAATAAGTAAGGAGTACGTTTTGACACAAGCGGGGCCTGTTAGAATGGATATAAGCTTAAGACAAATCCAGCCAGAAAGATTTAGCGAGAAGAGAAAAACAAAGAGAAGAACAAGTGGACGAGAGAATAGAAAGCAGTGATGGTAACAAAGGGAGACTCTGCGGCAGTGACATCACTTTTTCTGTCCCCAAGGGGCCACACATTGTCTCACACAAAGTCACAAGCACTCAAAGTCACAAGAACATCATACAAACCAAATTCCACACAAATGCATGCTCACACACCTGTTAGATATCTTAACATTCTTGTCTTAACACTTATTTTGGGTTATTTAGTGTGCACTGCAAAGCTGCTAATGATGTTTTAAGTTTCAGTAACACGTGGTGGTGCTTATCAATATCTAAAACATTTCCATAACAGGTCCTATGAACTCCAAATGCCTACAGAGATGTAGAAGTCCTACATTTTTGCACATTGGCACTGATTCTTTGTCCCAATGATAAGTCTCTTACACAATCTTGGTATTAAAGCGCAAAGTAACACTGTTTTGTTTGAGCCTGTACATGCAATCCCTACTCTCTCTCTGGTTGTTAAAAGTGAATGTCCCTCTACACAGTGATGTATGGCACTTGCTCCACTGTAATGAAGTTTGAAGAAAACGTGCACAATGTTTTTACACTGATTAATGGAGGGACTGAATGAAACCATTACAGCCTAGCTTTCTATTTTACATATATCAGTTTTTTTAATCCGTCAGTTCTCTGGTTAAGCAGTTTTTATCAGTCTGTCAGACTCTCAATCAATCAATCCATCAATCACATTAGACTTCAGTACATCAGTTGTAAATGTTGAAGTGACTATATCTGCAGAGGCTGGTTACTAGAAGGTTTGATGGAGTAGGCCGCAGGGTCTGCCTGCCAGTCACCAGGGTTAGCGGTGACAGCAAGGCCCGGAAACAATAAGTATGACAGACTGGCCTCCCACAGTCTGCTGGCTGACCGGGAAACTATCTTAGTGGGCTCAGTGGGACTTCGTCCTTTAAGCCAAATACTATAGTAGATTTAGGATTGGCTAGAGAGGGGCCTAAGTATCTATGATGGCCACTTCACAAAGGAAAAGTAATTGAGGAAGAAACTGGAAGTATGTAAAGTAATAATGGTCGGATAAGGTTAATGTGTGTGGGAAAGGCAGCACTATAGTGAGGAAAGCACAGTAGGCCTTGTATCTAGAGAGACCAGCACAAAAATACACGAGTTTACCCCTGGGGGGTGGGGGGTGGGGGGGGGGGGGGTGGAATAATCCTGCTTCTAAAGAACAGGGAGGGCTGGAGAGACTCAGTGGAAACTAGTGATCCCACAGAGACACTAAGAGAAGAGAAAGAGAGTGGTAGACTAAAATAGAAGATGAGGGATGAGGCAAGATTGTCAGATTACTTGAAATGTGTTTGTGTTTGTCAGAAGTAGACACACATGCTCAACCACAAAGACAAACCTCTTTGGTCAAAGGCAAAGGCCTCCCGTCTGGTAAGGGCAGCGGCCTTGTCAGTATTTCTCACCTTCTCATATTACAGAACAACATGCATTGTCCCTACCGGTCCCCTGGGTCTGCTCAGCCATCACTTACCCTCCATGGGAGTGTTGCTGTCTGGCCGGTTGGCGAAAACCACATCCACATAGTCAAGTTGCATCCTCTGGAGGGAGCCCTTTAAACCTAAGGGAATATGTAGAGAAAGAAGAAAATGGTCAATAGGAATTATGAGCATCGAGCATATTTTTTGTAGTGCTGGCATAGATTTGTTATCAACCAAAACGTTAACAACGTCAATAAATATTCCTTGTTTTCAAAAGGTTAATTTGACCCACATTCAAATACTGATTTGACATATCCCATATAAGTAACATCCTTGAAAACTTCTACTGATACCAGTTGACTAAGGATAATTATTGTGTCATGCAGACATGTTAACAAGTATACAATTATCCTAAGGGGAACCTCTATCTCCTTGCGATTTATTTGACAATGTTATATAGATATAGGAATAACTGCACACTAGAATTTGATTGTTTGCCGTATGCTTGATTAAAAAGCAACTGGAACTAGCAATTGTTATTTAAAAAAAACATGTTAATTTAATTATTCAAGCAGTAATTTTGATGTTCTGTTGTCCATTACAACATGCCATCAGGTAAAAGGAAAAATAGGGTGAGTCAGATCCTGCGGGATTGAGAGCCATCATGCTCATAACCATGGCAAAGTGACAGTTGACCACATGTGACTCAAGCCCCCCCAGCTGGATCTGGCCTGGCACATCTCATGACACAACTCACATAGGAATCTGAGCCGTCTGGTTTACTTAGTAGGAGTATTGGACTAACCTTTGTCAAACAATTAAATAATTCATAATCTACGGCCGATCAAGTGACAAATCAAGCTGTTCAAATCAAATCTAATATAAGACTATATATTTTGCACTTGTTTATGAGGAAGAAAAGTCTCCCAGTTTGAAATACTATGTAATGATTCAAAATATGTGCAGTTGCTATTCCACACGAGTTAGGCTTTATGGTCATAAAACGTTAAGCTGTTATTAAGGGGGAGGATATGGCTGAATAATATGAAGCACATTTGCTCAATAGACCTTTTTGAAAGCATATATCTTGACTAGAAGCAGGAAAGCAAAGGTAAAGGTAATGTAATTAAAACGGTGAAACTGGCACAATGCTAAAGCACTCATGACGTCCACTTTTAGCCACAGTGGTCGAGGCAAAAGTTACATAGTCTCAATTTAATCGTTTGGACTCTTTTGTGACGAAGTAAATGTCGTTGACCCACTTAGCAATATACAAGAATTATCTACGGTTATGAAGTGCAAATTAACATTTTGATCATTTGCTTGTCCTAATAAAAACAATCTATATAAACGGTTTTAAAATATAGAAATAGTAGAACTGCCCTGATTAATGTTCTTATTTTGTTTTTACCCTTTTTCAACAGCTACAATATAACAAATATTCACAATTAGAATATATAAGGTTAATTAGTATCAAGCTCAGTGCATACCATTATATCCTTTTAAGAAGATGTATGTGGAGAAAGCCCTGCATCTGTGCAAACTTTGATCCTTCTTGCATAAATTATTTGTTTTGACAGGTGGCAGCAAAACCAAACAATTCAAAGCTGAGAGGATAATAAGAAAAACGAGGGCTCTGCTTTCAGTATTAGTTAGAGGTGAAATACTGTATATTAGGGGGAGGTTAGGAGATGGCAGCACTGTATTGTGAGCAGATAAGTCCCCATTCACACACAGAGAAGACCAGATGAAAGATGAGAAGCAAAGCAAGAGAGACTGTCACAAAGGAAGAAAGCAGAGTAATAGAAGCAAGGCAAAATACACCCGGGGGCTCTTGAGTTTGTGTGAGTGTTTTAGGCAGATTAGTTCCAGAGGCTTCATCGTTTGCCGCTAATTCCCATCTGAAAGTTGCTCTGCGGACTGCCGCTCTAACCACTTATTCCTTCCCCTGTCATCTGCTCTCCCACAATCCCAGAAACACCCATTACATGGATCCTAATCTGAGCCTGCACCGTCATCGCGAGCAGTTTCCGCTGTCTCCTGGATAAGCTGGCGTTTTCAGGCTGTGAAGGAAGTCTATTTTTAGAACTGAGAAAAGATGATGAACAACAAAGCTATTCTACTGGCATTCAGATTACATTATACATTTAAATTATGTTTTCCACAAAGTCTCTTTGAAATCTTGAAATTGTCAAGGAATATATTTGTCATGTGATGAAAAATGGTAAACACAAGTGATGTTTTCTGAAGAGACTTTGACATTTTCTTAAGTGTTGATCTCTGATGCTATTTATCATTAAGTTTGACACACATTTATTTCTAGTAAATGTCACTTAACCAATCAAATGACTCATTGAGTTGCCTGTTTTGGGATGTACAACCAGTAGTGAAGATAATGTTTAGCTCTGCCAAGTTATTACCACTCTGTGACATGTGCCACACTGCAGATTTCTCTCATGGATGCTACCTATTATTGGGTCTGGCTTTATCTAATTGGTGGAACCACATTTCCTTCGATTTTAAAATCTGTACCCTTCTCCTCCAGCCTTTTCTAAGTATATTTCCCCTTGTCTTGTTTTGGGGAAAGTTGCAGAGGCTGTGGTGAATGTTAATAACGTGAGAAGCTGAGTCACTGCAGGAGGTGCATTGCGCTGTGGACCGGATGGCCAGTTGTTAGGGAAGTGTGGCGGAGTGGGCCAATGGGATGAGAGAGGTATCTCATTAGAAGCTGGAGCAAGGCCATAACTCTTCTAACAGAGGAGTGGAGAGGAGAGTTTGATGATGACATATAGCTTGTTGTACACTTGGATAAAAAAACACACACCTGTTACGGTATTACAACTGAAAAGACAACAGTCTGTTGAGGTTTGATGTACTATTGGCTATAAATTAAAAAAGTTCTGCCCGGTGTTGATGCTGATAAAAATGAAAGAGCAGAAAGAAGACACAGACAGGAAAAAGGGAGGGAAAGATAAAGGAAAGAGATTACAGGAGTGCAGCAGGTCTCAGAGTGATGGGGTGATGTGAAGGACAAAGCAGCAGAGCGGAAATCGACTTGTTACCTTCAATGATGTGCTTTCTGTTGAGGCCTCTTTCTGTCTCTGCTCTGCAACAGGAGGGAAGGATGTGCATGTCAGAACACATATATACACACACATCTATGCACATACACACAGTTCTCATGAATTGAAGCAGATCATTAAGCATGCAAAACCAGAGCCTGCATAATAAACTACCCACAATCCGCTGAGGAGAAATACACCCACTCGACACTCTGCAGTGTGCCCGCAGCTATAGAACAAACTGTGCGCCGTGTCTTTGCAGCCGGCCAACACGACGCTTGTTGTCACTGTCTGTCCCGATCGCCAGGGATTTGCCAATGGCCTCCCATTTAGATGGGCTTTGGTGATTTGCATGCAAGAAATATATTAAGTCAACAACAACTGAAATGTAGTTGAATATAGAGCTTGTATATGCAGTGCTGTAACTTCAAAAAATATATTTTCTCAAGTACTTTATGTAGTACAGGTACTTAACTAGATTAATTTAATTTATATTTGTACACTTATTCCAATAACGCATATAGAATTCTAACTTAATTAAATCTTTCTTTCTTGCTTCCTAGTATTTTGTAAAAGCCATACAGTATGCCAGATAAGACATAACTAAACATTTTACATAAAGAACAATATTGTATTTGTAGTAAGTATTCATAGTACAGTATATGAGTTTTTAGCACCACTAGACTGACACCAAAAAAGTCCTCTTTCAGGTCAATATTTATAACACTCTGAAGGAAGTAATTCAGTACTTTTGATGCATAATACTGTGTTTTCACCAAACAACAGTCCTGAATGCAGTGCCTTTACTTGTTAGAAGATTATTGTGGTCTTTTTAAATTGACTTTAACCTGTTTTTATTGATATTGAGGCTACTTTTGTGCAGTGTAACAAGCTATAAACACAAAAACTAATATCACCTAAAACGTTGTAATGTTATCTATGTGATGTTAGCAAGCAATTGCCTATTTACTGATCCACTCAATATGGAACCACATTAGCATTCATTTAGACTTGTGTTTCTTGCCACCTGACAAATGTAAATCCAATATTCAGTCTCCTTTTAGATTTGTTTTAGTCTCCACCAACTCCTGAGGGAAATATCTTGCTCTGTGGCTGCGTAATGCTCCGATACATTCACTAGCTATAGTTGCCAACTTTTTCTGTCTGACATGTAGCGCTGAGTATATCAGTTTCTGTGGATTTATAAAGTCGTGCTTAAAACACCTAAAGTTTATCTAAAAATAAGGCTGATAAGTTTGGTGAGAGTCAACCGACATGCTGGGCCATACAACTACTGATTTGTCAGTAGCACCACCTGCTTTGACTTCCCTTTCAGATTTCCCCATGCCTGCTTTTCCTTTTTCTACTTAATTATTTTCTTTTCTTTCTGCTCTAGTGTCTCTCTTTGCTCAGTTGCCTGCCATTTGTCTTGTTCTTGCTTCAAATCACACTTTCTCTTCCCGCCTCCCGCCTTTGGTGTTCCGGCCTGCTTGGGTTATAATAATGTGGTGCAGAAAAACAACATGCTGTCCTCCTTCGTGTCATCATGTCTTCTTCTGTGCAAAAGTGTAGGGAAGTGCAATGGAGAATAAAGTGTGCAAATGTCTACTGTATGTTTGGGTGATGAGATGCTTGACAGGCCTCTCTGGCAGACTCACAGCTCGCTAAACGGGGGGTTGAGTAGTTGTTCTGCAAATCCATCTGGTGTGGAGACTTCATACCTCGACAATAGTCTGAGAGGATCAGCTTAAATTAAATGTACTGCTCCTGGGCCCTAATATACTGATTGACAAAATAGACAGAAAACCAGAAGAAGAGTGTGGTTAAACCTAGGTAGCTTTTACCTCATTTTGTACGCACCTGAAGACTTAATGTTACTAATGCATTTTGAGAACAGAATACTTCATTATGACAGAAGAAGCATATATGACAGTTTGATAAAAAGGCTGAGGAAGGGTACTGTATGAAGTGAAGCAAGAAGGGCTGAGAACACGGCCACGTTTAAATCTGTACGTGTGTGTATGTTGAGTGTTTCCTCCCTGTCTGTTCGCCTGTGGGTTTTCCAAAATGCCCGATGCCTGCCATGTCAAGCTCTGTGTCAAATGTTTTAATCTGTAGCCTGTTCATGGTGAGATAGCCCAAGCATCTGAGAGAAAACTGCCCGTGCTGGACGCCATACACTCACTTCCATGCACACACACTTACTTTCCTCCCCAGTAGAGCTTCGTTGTGATAACCAGGCTGGATCTCCTGAGAGGATGACAGACACATCAAAAAGCCATCAAGTACTTTGAAGCTGTTGTCAGAAAGATGTGTGTGTGTCATCATGTCCATGCCTGAATGAGTGTTCTCCAGTGACCTCCTGCTGTGTGAATTGGCAGATTATCAATCATGTAAATTATCAAGTATTAAGAATCTCAGAGGGACTCTTCTCTGCACTCTAATAAGAAAGCTCTCTCACTATTAAATCCTCCATGCTTGAATGATCAATAATTGACACAGATCCAGAGTTGAGGTGAGGGCAGGCTGTAACTGATTCTTCTCACTGCAATGTGGCAGTTTATGCAGTATATATGTATGAAACTGATATGTTACGTGGTGCAGTGCAGTGACAAGCATATGCTTGATGTTGAACTGCGGTTCAACGTCACATTTACATACAGAGATATCAGGGATTTAGTGCTTACAAAATCCCAGCTATTGGTGAGATTGATAATGTAGACATTCTCCACCTTCTACCACCTCAAATGACCATGTGCAGTGCTTGAAAGTAGACATACAGGAACACTTAGCATATGTATCTTGTAGAGAGACGCCATATGGCCAACATGGTTGGGTTCCTATTCCTTGTTTTGGCTTAGGTCCTTCAATTTAATAAAGGGAAATGTTGATGCTTAAGTATTCCCCCGAGCAGACCCCCAAGTGATCCTTACATAAATCCGAGGGATCAGGTAGATATTTATTTTTGATACACAAGGGCAAGTTATTAATGGCTACATGTTGGTTCGGTCAGTTGTTATACCACTATGGCCCGGACTGAAATATCTTAACTCGTGTATGGACTGGCTCAGAAAAGCTATTGTAGAGAGAGAATCCTAATAATGTTTGTGAATCCCTTAACGGACCGTCCACACAGCAGCGTTAAAAAATCTTGAAACGCTTCTGCCCATTCACTTTGAATGGGGTGACGTCATTTGCCTCACTTTTCGCCGAACTGCATTGTGGGCAGGCGAGCGGAGATTTTCAGGATTTTCAGGATTCAAAGTTAAGCAATGTTCAACTTTTGAAGCTGAGGTGGAAGCGTCAGCCAATCAAATCCCGTGTATGCAAATCTGACAGTTCAAGTGCTAGCCAATCAAACCGCGTGTATGCTGGGAGAGACATACCGCAGGTCATTTCCTCATATTCCAAAAAATGGAGGAGAAATTAGCGGTAGAGAATCACCCGGTGCTTTATGACCAGTCCCTATTTACCTACCGGGATATAAACCGGAGGAGCCAGGCATGGAGGGAGGTGGCAGAGACAGTGGTATGTTTTCGCCTGTTTGGGGAGTTTATATCCAGTTTACTTCAAACTTTTTTGCTTCGTATGTCGGGGGCGGGAGATTCATGTGATTGGTTGTTGGTGCCTTGCTCGCAAAAAATCCCCAAGCTTCAGATACGCCCACCTCCAAGATTTTTTTAACGCTGCTGTGTGGACGGGCCGTTAGTGTCATTATCATTATCCAATACTTTTATGGTTTATTAACAAATTCCTACACAACTTATATTCACATGATCATAAGCTGTACTTTGTTTTTACTGCAAATTAGCATGTGTTAGCATGCTAAACACCACCCTGTTAACATTTTAAAAGAGAATGCTTCATTTTAAATCACAAGCTAAACATTATGAGGATAAGCATGCTAGAAGGTAGCTTGCTGGTCCAAAATGACCGTGTCACCATGTACAGAGAGAACCCTAGGGACATAATGTCGTTTTTTGGGTGGAAAACTTCGAGAGAGCCCTGACCCTTAACCTCATCCAACGACTTTGGGAGAAATTGAAACGCCAACTGTGAACAATTCTTTAACACATCAGTGCATGAAGTCAGTACTGCTCTTGCAATGGGAATAAATCACTGCAGCCTCAGAACAGTGCATGCATATTTGGAATAAGATGCTAACGTATCGGCACATATGTCTTTAGCTTGTCTTACTTTGGGCTTATGTTGTGTGTACGCAGATACACAATGTTAACTCTATTCATAGAACACATTCAGAACCTTAAGAGAGTGCATTTTACCTCCAGCATTTTTTCTTGATGATGTTTCCAAGGATTATCTCTGCTCTGTAAAGAAAAGAAGAGGAAATACACTATGAGAAGATGAGATTATAACTAAGGCTGCCATTTTTCTAAGAGCATGTAAGTGTGACAGTTATCTGCCATGCATCTACAGCATGAATACTTGATTAAAAATCAGCAACACAGCAGATCAAGATAATAGATAAACGCCTTGTATTGTAAGCCTGAATTTCCCCGGCAACCTTGAAATTAATATTCATGCACATATAGCTACAGCCTGTCCCACATTATTCAGGAAGACAATGTCGAGGCTTATAAAGTTAGATTGAGCTGTGAACATAACGGAGAGCCTCCAGTGATGAATGAGATTATGTAAATCACTCTGGAGTGAAGCCACCTTTCATTTTTTCCCTCCTCTTGTGAATATTTCCTGATCTGAGGCTAACATTGTAAACACCTTGTGTCCTAAAGCGATAAAGCGAGAAAATTGCTCGGTGGGTGTAAGATAGATAACAAATCTGAGACATCACTCACTTCCCCCCAGAGTAGACTTCAGCTGTGTCAAACAGGTTGACCCCGCTCTCATAGGCGATAGTCATCAGCTGTTCTGCCACCTGACACAGAAAAGAAAAGTGTTCCCCCCCATGGACTTTAGTGTGTTGTAATTCATGAATGTAAATATCGACCAAAATAACATAAAACAAAGAATGTGCTAAGAAAATTCCCTGAAGAAGGTGAGGGAGAGTTAATCTATTCTCCACCAAGATGCACATCATCAGAAAATGTCTAAAATGGTTTCTCTCTCTCTCTCTTCCCGTTCTATCTGTCCTATCTCTATAATAGAGGCAAAAGGGCACAGAATAATTCATTAAAAAAAAAAAAAAGTTGTTTACTTCAATATATTTCCCCAGACTATTTGGACCTAGTTCTTGTGCTTTCAATTTATTCAGAGCCATAAACCGGAAGGCCAATTTAGTCATGATGACTTTTCTCTTTTTGTACTCAGATTTAGTATTGGTGGGTTTGTTTGTGTCTCTGGCCGTTTCTCAATGTCGAGTAGAGCTGCTGCAGAGCCACTATTTCAAGTATACTACATCATCGAGTGGCGCCGAAGGACTGTTTAAATGCCCAGCATTCGGCGCCACTCGATGACGTAGTATACTTGAAATAGTGGCTCTGCAGCAGCTCTACTCGACATTGAGAAACGGCCTCTGTATCTGTGTGTGTCTCAGTTAGTCCCAGTGGTCATCAGGCAGTGATGAGCTGTCTCCAATTCAGTGGCTTACCCCTTCAAGGCCAGATCAAAGCTCTGGAAGAAGACTTCTGCTTAATAGCTTGTGACAGGGGGCAATGTGACCTGACCATTTGGCCTTGGAAGAGCCAACAGGGACTTAACAGCATGCTGTGATATTGGGAAATTGATACAAGAATGATTACTGTGGTCTACTGACACTAATGCCATTTTACACCCAGCAACACTTAATGGCTCCCATAGGGGCTAAAGATTGGGGGTGTTGTAATGTAGACTGTCATCAGAATTTGTGTTTGCAGGATCAAAAATAATCAGAGCCAAGCCCAAGATCTGCTGATACAGTGACGGCTGAATGTTGGATTTGACGTAACGTCTTACCTCATCAGAGATCTGACCTCCAAATGTTACCCATGTGCCTGCGGAAGGAAACATCAAAGTCAAAGTTTTGGAACAACAAACAAAAACATCAAAGACCTTTGCATCACTCATAATCATGTTAGTTGTGCATTAATTAGTACTTTGACATTTTGGCATGGACAAAAAAAAGGGCCTAAATCCATCACAGTCAAATGTCAGGGTTGAGTGTTGTTGAAAACATTTTCTCTGCTATATGAATTTGGAATGAGTAAGCTACTGAGCAGATGTCTGTGCGGTTATATTTAAAGAAACACGGCAGCAACTTGGGGTTTTTGTGTTTGCTTGTGAGGGTTTATAGTATGTGCATACATTATGGTTATGTTTAAGTACAAAGACTCTTTTCTCCCTTCAAACAGCACAGGCTGAACACAGTTTTAGGTACACGCTTTATATTGTCTAGAGCCTCTGTTGAAAGATTCTGTAACATGCAGCTGGTTGTCATCTCCCACTAATACGCAATAATGCAGAAGCTGATGTTACATTTGTTAAAATAACTGCAGCAGAAGTACAGCAGCAGATTCATTTTCTAAGAAGGCAATTGTTTAAAGTAAAAGAAAACTTTCAAATCATTATTAAATGCCCAATTACATTTTAAGTAAACTCTAAGTTCTATTTATTATCATAACAACATTTTAAAATAAATGGTTTTACATTTTGGGAAATATATTGATTAACACCACCATTAATATGTAAGCCTAGCTCGAACCAGCAGCTGGAGCTTAGCATAAAGACAGGACGCAGGGCAATTTGTAATTTCTACATTTTGATTCTTGCAAAGAAATAACAAAGATTAAACAAACTTTTTCCTTTAAATTAATGGATGGCAACATACTGCTTAATGTGCTAGAAATAAGTCTTTAAAAACAAATCACTACAGGGATAATTAACTCATTCACAGATTTTACATCAGTTAGTATTTAAAGACACTGCATCATTTATTTTCTTTGTCAAGATATTTTGTCTTCAGAGACGCACCCCCATCAATAACTTAGCATACTGATAGAACACAGCAAACAAATGCACTGCAGTACACACACACACACACACACACACACACACACACACACACACACACACACACACACACACACACACACACACACACACACACACACACACACACACACACACACACACACACACACACACACACACACACACACACACACACACACACACACACACACACACACACACACACACACACACACACACACACACACACACACACACACACACACACACACACACACACACACACACACAAAGTGAATAATTGACATCAAGATGAATGGGAGTTTGTACCCTCTGCTGTGCGATCGGTATGTGAGATAATTGAGCAACTTGTTTTCTAAAAACAATGCTATTGATTAAATATTTAAAATATTTTCTTGCACTTGGATGCTTACGAAATCATTAGACATTTGGCTCTGATGCTAATTGAATGTACTCACCCAGCCCCAGACAGGAGACACGCAACCCAGATTTCCCCAGGTTCCTATAAAGAATAACAGACTCTGATTATAAAACAGCGATGTTTAGGCTCAAGAAGTCATCAGTCAAATAAGATTGCAATTTCTGCACTGCTGTATTTTGCTATGGGCAACGATTTTCTGCCTAAACAACGCCAACATCTATTTTCTGTCCATCTTGAGAGACTGAAATGAAATGACAGCCATTTTGCTATTATGGAGCTAACAACATAAGCAAAAAAAATCAATAGTGTTTGCAAGGCGCGTAATAATAACATCATATGTAGAGTGTCATGTTCGATTGAGAGGAGGATCACTAATGTGAGGGTGACCTTATCACACCTGCATTCATGAATCAGAATGGAGGGATTACAGGAGGGAGGACAGCTTTATCCCATCAATATGGATCGCACTTTCTCTGGTATAAGAGGACGTCCCTCTAAACACCCTGGAAAAGATTCGACTCAACCGTAAAAATCCAATTACTGTTGCACTGAGTTTGGGACACTACTTTTGACAAGTGTTGCCCTTGTTCCCCTCATCCCTCACTCTATTACCTCCTATTTTCCGATGAGCCTTGTGCTCCCTTACAGCAGGGAGTACTTCTGTCCTTTGGCTTTTTACTGTTATTGGCATCCATTCTTGCTCTTAAGCACAAGAGATGTATCATATCAGGATTTCTCCACAGCTCCTCACACTTGTGTTTCCCTGCTATCCCTCTACCTATTAACTGTGGAATGGTACACCTCCTGATGTCTCCTTGATAACAGTTCATTTCCCTCCAGCTGATCTGTGGATATGTAAAGCACTTTTGGCTCTCATTGACCCCATGGAAGATAAACTAAGAGAGAGTTCTTGCCACCCTTAACACGGAGTCTCAGCGCTCCACTTCACCCTTAGTTTCACAATCTGTGTCAAATCGTGTCCAACTGAGAGGGGAACTCAAGTGTTTAATGACATAAAACCGGCGATAACAGCAGATTATTCTCCTTACAGCCATCCACAGATGTCTTCCAACAGTGTAATGTCTGTAGACTGTGAAAGAAGAAGTGATGCGCCGCCCCGAGCCATCTGATCGAGGAAACATTTCGAAGCAAAACCCTGTAACATTGAGACACATTTGTCTGACAGAATCATCGAGGCCACATCGCAGAGCCACTATCACAGGCCACACACTTCATCCCGAGAGAAGAATATGTCCAAATACTCATTTATTGACACAGCAACAAGCCCTAATTACATTCTGTGACTTCTGCTTGGTTTTGCAGGCATGTAGTCATTACGACAAATAAGGACGGAAAAAATGCCAGCAGGGTTTTTCTCGTGCCTGATAACTAATGGCCTGCCCCATTGAGCTTAAGGCAGACAAATCCAAGCCTGTGCAATGTTACCAAGCCCTCAGCCAATTCAATTGGGTGTTCAACATGAGGAAGCATCAGTCATCGTGGCAGTAGTTCAGCCAAGATAAAGGAGGGAAATAAAGACGAATAAACACTTTATTTGATACATTCGGATTTTTTTACGTTTAAGGCATTGATGACAACATGACAGGAGACAGATCTCGCAGCCACAAATTGTGGGATATGTTCTTGTCTCTGATATGGTGGAGGAGTTTAGATATTATATCCTCCCTCTCTCTGATGTATTATGAAGTGGGAGCTCTGATCCATGAAAGTGTGGGGGAGGGGCTGTACTGTAAGTTAGAAGTGGGAAACTGACTGAAAGTGTGTGTGTGGTTTTGTGTGTGTGTGTGTGTGTTCGGGGGGTTATTTAGGACTGCACTGATGGTGTTTGCTGCTGCGTGTATTCCAAGTTGCTCTGGGTGAAACATCTGCTTAATGCTTACAATGCAATGGAATACTTGTGCATACAATTGTCTCGGGCCTTCATTGATACTGTTTTCATGTTTACAGTGGTACGTCAATGCACACTATCTCCACAATGAAGAAGCTTGCACGACTTCCATTTACAAATAAAGCTGGCTGTCCTTGAAAATGGCTATCTTTGTCTTTTGAGATCCTCTACAAGCTATACTTGCAGTGCTTGTGTTATGCTTTGAATGAAAACAGGATGCTTTAATGATAGGTGAAGAGGTTCTGACGTTCTGCTGGCGGAGAAGCTGCCTCAATGCTGTATTTTCTGCCATACCTGATTATTAACCACACAGCCGGCTATGGAGCAATAATAGATCTGTCCAGGTCTTGGAAGTGGGTGATAGCGGGGCCACATTTCTAAAGAACCCAGTGATTCAGGGGATTACAGCATATAATTTGCAACAAAGAAAAGAAAATGAAAACATTGTGTTTACAAGCTTGTGTGCATGCGGGGAGAAAATAGGGCTGCTAGGATGCATTGACACAGGTTCATTATATATGAGTTACATTGTAAATGTTAAGATAGACTCAATAAGGGAAGGACCACTTGTCCATACACACCGCCACATAAAACACTTTGCAAGCCATGTGGCTCGGCCCCTCATGCTTGGATGGTGCCCAAAAGAAGCCTTGAAGTAAAATGACAAATGAGTCATTTCAAGACGCCCCCTCACACAAACCTGTCACCGCTTATGAACATCCTGCGATGCGATGGTTCTATGTAGCCGTTGCATTTTCTTAGTGGATCCCCAGTTGAGATAAATAAAACAATCTAATGAACATCTGGCCGCATTTATTGTGTCTAGATCTCTGGAGTAATTACCTCTCATTGTGGGAGGATGTTTTTTTGTCCTGGAAAGCACTTGGTTCCCAGGTCACACGCAGGCATGTCTTATCATTTATATGTTGGATTGCTCAAATCAATATTCGTCAGCTAACACTTTTGTCAAGGTTATGAGTAAACAGATAAAAGCCCTCACTGTGGGGATTAATGTAGGCTAAGCAACCCACACAAGCCAACCTTGATGGGCAGAAGGATTAGACAACGCCCACCTCCTCAGATCCCACTGCTCTCCCAATGTTTTTATCAAAATAAGGGCAGGGTAGAAAGGGGTTCATGATCTAAAGATATCAAAGCCAGGGCCCATGCGGGTGGGAAGAAAGCAGGGAATTGAAATCAAGGGGGAACAAATGTATTAAGTATGAAGGAGAAGCTTCAGGAGACATGCAGGGGTGAAAAATAACCAGGAAGCCTACATGTTAAATTTCACCAATATCAGGAGGAGGATGTGCTATGAAGAGAGACACAGACACTGGCAACAGACTGGGGCGTCCAGAGTTGCAAGTCCAAGCCTTAAGTCTATAAGCAGTTCAAATGCCCTCTACAGATAAAGCTCACTATATGACACATAATTGGAAATAGGAAACGACAGCTGGTTCCCTGCAGTGCCCTGCACAATGCTGTGTGTGTGTGTGTGTGTGTGTGTGTGTGTGTGTGTGTGTGTGTGTGTGTGTGTGTGTGTGTGTGTGTGTTTGTATAGTCTGGATACAACTTTCTGCCTTGTTTTCCCGCAGGGCTAAAGTCCACATTGTATTTACTTTTTAAGCAGTATTCGTAGACACGCACAATTTTATAAATGCACACAATGTTATTTTTACGGTGTTGTAACAAGTTATTCAAAACGGATGGGTAGAAAATCTATCACAGAATAACTGTATTTCGGCGGAGACACATAATCTAAACCAGTGGTCTGTGAGTTGATCCTGTATTGCAAAACATGTGGGAAGATCTGAAGTGGTTGATTCAGAAGGTTGGGGAGAGCTTAGCAACGTTGGAAGGAAATAGCGTCATTATAACACAAAAACCAGTATACAGTACACGCTTTGCTTTTTAGCAAAAATGAAAATTAAGGCGTTAATCCAAAACATTTTAAATGTATTGTCAAGAATCTTAGAAATGATTCTGTATAAAATCAAGTGAAATAGTTGATTTGTCTTTGTAGCTGTTTTGTAACACAACTCAATTATAGTAGCGACATTGTATCTTGCCAAGCCGGGATTTCTGACACAAACTGTAAGGTAAGTGAGTGTTTATTTGACATTTGCCAAACTTACAATATTTATAAAGACAGATGACAGCTCAGATAGATTTTTTTAAGAAACATAATATGATTATTTTTATCTTTTTCATCCCAACCAATAAGCATGGTTTTTCATACTGTTATTTTACAACTTTACACATGCAGTCGTGTTTTCGATCAGTTTTATAGCCTCAAATTATCTTTGTGATTATAGTCTGTTTAAAGAGACCGCTTCAGAAGAAAAACGGAAAATTGCATTTGCAAAGTAACACTATTAGAAAGCCATTACGCTCACAGAAAAACATTTTAGTTGTGACCTTTAATTAAAAGGCAAAATCCATGCAAAACGTCCTGGCTGTTTAACAGAGAGATTGGGCCGATCTCATCCTTGGGGACTTGTTTGGTCTTTAGGCGGAGTGCAGCTGCATGCTACACGGCTCCTGTTGTGCAACACCCTGGCTCATATTATTAGAACTACACATCATAGAAAATCGGCCAAGAAATTAACTCAAGGAAATGATGTTGGAACATAAAATTCATACATTTTATCCAAAGAGTGAAGATGTTTGATTAAAAAACTGGGCAAAAAAGCAACTCAACGAGCTGGATACACACCGTGTGTCTCTGGGCAAATGCAGCATTATGGGTTCAATGGGTGCACAAACGCATGAAGTCATGCAAACACACATGCATGTATGCACACACAGGCACCTGCGCATGCACACACATACTCAAAGTTCACAACAAACAAACAAATGGAGAGCAACAACCAAGCAAATTATGATTTATGGAGCATAAGTGCCACAGCTGCAGGATATCTGTTCTCTTTCTGCGGACAGAGGTTAAATCAGTCCTCACAATTCAGCTGCAAAAATGGAGCCCTTTGTGTAATATTCACAGCGTATAAACCCATTGAATAATTTGGGAAAAGAGCTGATTTCTAGCTTACAGTACTTCATGCAAGAAATTCTGCAATGTATTCCCCGCGTATCATCAGTCATTTTTTATCTTTTTTTCTTGCAAGAAACCCATCCTCTGCTATCTATGGCGAGAAGTGATAGTGTTTGTAAAAGCACTTCCAAAAGTATTTTTGCTTCAGGTTTAATAGCTCGCTGGTTTTTTAAAAAGAGGGACTTTAGAAGAGGAAGTATTTTTAATTAAAAGGATTAAGCTAGAGGCACAGTAGAGTCATGCATGAATGCAACCATTCAATCTGGGGCTAGGATTTCTGGTAATTCAATAAGAAAATATTCTATCTGAGATGTCACATTGTAAAGCTTCTTTTTGTATACTCGTGTGAATTAAATACTTGATAAATTCATTGTTTCTTCACTAAATTATGAGACTGCTGCAATCTTCAAAAGATATTCCCTCAAAACATTTCACAGTTAGTATTTGGTTGCTGTTGTTACCAATTTAAATGTAATTTTGTATCATTTTATCCTTATATCATTCCAAAGAGGGACGATTCATTATCATATTGAATTATTGCCTAGCACTACAATACAATATATATTTATATATATATATATGGGTAGTTTATTTCCCCCATTATGCATCAAAGTAAAGTAAAACTCAAAAGTGCATTGTCAAAGACTTTAAGAAATGATTCTGGAGGGAATCATACGACAAAGTTGTAGGGTTAGAAACATAACATTATGATTCTATATTAGGACATCATATGGTTTGATTACGATAATAGAAAATATATGCCAAATAACAACACTTTATCTTGCCAATCCCTCAAATCTGATGCAAACAGTCTATTCTGTGTGCACACAAAAAAGCTTTGGATGGCTGGTGTATACATTACTCACACTGTCAACACACATGTTTACTCTAGACAGCAGAGAATGCCTCTCTGCTGGCCGCTGATAAGCCTGCATCCAAAGGAACTGACAGAAGGGATTTCTGCATGCCCATCTGCAGCTCTGAACCAACCGAGTGGAATCTTCCCCAAATCTCCTGGACTGTCAAAAGACCTTCTGCTGCCTAATGACCGTCATAAACTTCAGGCGACCAGGGGCTCCCTACCAGGACCCAGAAATAATCTGACCGTTTGTGAAGCCAGCAACGACAGCATGTTTTGTTACAACACACACAGCATTTTGGCTATGTGTGCTTGTTTGTGGATTTGTGTACAGCATTGAAAAGTACTTACTTGGGGACCCCACAATTACACCTACTCTATACTTGGCTACACTATACATCGTCATGACAACTAAAATGCTGTAGATGGTGGTATTATTAGTTTATGCTTGCTCGCTCTGCACACTACATTTCCTGCTTTGACTTGCTACGCCTTCAGATGTTCCCAGTGCAGAGCCTTAACGCCACGCACATCTAATGAACATACATGCACTCATGTATGTAATTCAATGCACCAAATTACACCACCCACTAACACCCACCCACCCTTTGTGTAGAAGTGCTTTCAATTGTTATCCCACTAATGAAACTTCACATATATTACACAACACAGATCTTGTTGTGGACTTATCTTGAACTCAAGAAAAAGAGATTCCCCATCATATAGTGTCCAAAGCAATGCAGTCATCTGCTTTGACAAAACAGCTAAGGGTCAGTGGTTTGACAAAAAGACAGAGATACATAACTGGAAGAGAGAAGGACAAGCATTGTTAGACAAACAGGGTCAAGAGTCGGGATGTAGCAAATGAGATATTTCATCCTCCATTGACTTTCCTGAAGTAAAAATTGAGGATTTGCCAACGGCTTATAGGAAGCTTTACTGCTTACATCTTCCACCTGTTTTAGAAAGAGCTACAAGATTAAGCAAATCCTCATGTTACAAACCAAAATAAACACATTTTGGAAGCCATGTACCTGGCATCACTCCTGCATGAGAAGTACAGCAACATGTTTGTATCGATTTCTCTCTCCAAGGAAAATAAAATCAGTGGTGAATCAAGCATTAGCAGCTATTTTCTTTGGTTGCATCTGTGAGTTAAAGGGAGATTTAAATTATAGAGTCCAAAAAAACAATACAATTTCAAAATGTATATCTCAGTAAATGGAAAAAAAACTATGTTGTGAATGCTGAAGCATTTAGCACAATGGAGCCTTCAGGCTTGTTTGGTTCTGGGAACAGATTGAAGTTGGCCATTTCAATGTTGTTATGGAAACGAGATGAGATGAGAAGTGTCTGCGTGTGTGACACGTCTCACATTAACTGCTCCGCATCCAATCCGCCCAGATTCTGTAATTGCCTCTTTTCCGTGAACTGACCCGCGTGCCCCATTTTCTGTTCTATTCACTCTCTAATTCTTCCTTTTTATAGTTCTCTTACTGTCTTTCTTGCAGTTACTCTTTCTAAGACCCCCTTATCTCTCAGTCTCTCTTGGTCCTGACACCTAAAGTGATCAAGCTACTATTTGCTCCTGCGATCTGAGTTAAGAGCCCACTCACTGACTAAAGAGAATTGTTTACTTTTGCTACTACTCCCACACACACACACACACACACACACACACACACACACACACACACACACACACACACACACACACACACACACACACACACACACACACACACACACACACACACACACACACACACACACACACACACACACACACACACACACACACACACACACACACACACACACACACACACACACACACACACACACACACACACACACACACACACACACACACACACACACACACACACACACACACACACACACACACACACACACACACACAACCACACACACACACACACACACACACACACACACACACACACACACAACACACAGTGGAGTGCACTTTATCTTGTCAGTTGAAGCTTTATCATGTCAGTTAAAGCCATTCCAGTTCTTAACCAATAAAGAAAATGTTGAGACATTTTTATCCGTCTTCATCACATGAAAAATTGAATCTCTCTCAAATTGCACTTCACTTCAATTAAAATCCAAACAACCCAAACTGTCCCAGATCGTAGTTTGCTAGACGCTCTTAACTGTGGTATAATTATAAAGAGTTGCCAGTAAATCTGCATAACAAATACAAAAGCACAGACGCCCTCACGCTCAGAGCCTCCCACTCATCACCTGTCACTGCTCATATCTCCGTTGTGTCTCCAGCAGGGCGCTTTTAATTGATTTAGCCTCACTTTTTAATGTTTTTTGTTATATAATGTGTTGTCATTCATACTCAGTTATTATTTTTTATATTTTCAGAGTTGTGGCAGGGAAGAAACTGAATAAACTTCCACCTTCTTACCCACTCTTCTATCACACAGTCTCCACCATCAGGTCTACGTACCGGTACTTCATGCCTGTGAGCTTGGCGGTGGACTCCTTGAGGTTATGGTGGTAGCGGTGGGTGAAGGTGCTCAGGCTGCGGGCGATCAGGGCCACGGTGCGGAAGCGGGCGCGGGCCTTGCTGGCTGTGTTGGGGCTGCTGGCGTTCTGCTTGCTGTGCTCGCCGTTTCGCGGGGCCTTCAGCCCGTGGTCCGTGCATGCAAAGGATACCTGCATGGCTGTTAGCTAAGGCCACGAGAGCTGTCCTCAAAGTACTAAACAGTATTTTATTCCGTCTGTGGAACCTAGATAAAGTCCTTGTTGTTCTTATGTTAAATCGAAAGCCGGTAATCCAAGCCACTTCTGCTTAGTGCTGCTGAATCTCAACTGGACAGGCAGAAAAACCAGAAGCATGAGATTGTTCAGTTTCTTTAAGGAGAAGACTCTCACGCTGATGTTGCTTCAAGATTGCTCATAGCAGCAGTGCAGTCCTGGTCAGTGTGTGAAGGGTTGCAATGGGGATCCTGTGCCGGTCTGACTCCACCTGAATATATGAGAGAGGGTGGATATGGAGGGAGAAGGATGAAGGAGAAGAGGCACTGTGTGAGTCGGTTGAAGGAGAAGCCCAAATGAGAAGAGCCCTTGAGAGTGTGTGTGTTAGAGGGATGAGGGTTAAAGGAGACATGAGGGAAAAGCGCTGCTCATCCAGAAGAAGAGAAAATCCAGTGTGGAAACCCTTCGGTGTTTTCTTTTGCTGTTGTCTCCTGTTTACAGTTTTTTTTGTTGCTGAAATCTCTAAGCTGTCTCTGTGAGGTAATGTGAAGAATGAGGGTCGTTCTGCCCTAGTTTTCCTTGCCTTCCTAACTCATTTTTCTCTTCGTTGTCTGTTCTGTTATATCTTCCTCACCTCATCGCATATCAACTGTTGTGCACTTCCCTCACATTTGGTTCCTTACTTGCTTTCTGGCTAGTCCATTTCTTTCCACAAACACATCAATTCTGCCTTTAATTCCTCTTTTAATGCATTTCAATCTTAGAGCGTTTGTCGGACTGTTAGGAGTTGTGTGTGTCTGGGGAGTCTTTCTTGCCCTCTAACCTTTTATCCAACCACCTGAAGCGAGGAGAGCAACACTGCACCATCACACAAGGCTTTCCACACTTTCCATACACACCATCACAGACAACCTACAACTCTTCCTGTAACACATCTTCATAATATGGTCATGCTTTTCACACAAAACCAAACAATTACATACTAACACTTACAATTATCAGGCAAACAACTGCATTATATCCGCTTATAACACACACAATTAAATATGTACTGGAACAAGTGTTCTTACTGAATCGAGTCTTCAGCGTTCTCTGAGAAACAAGGACGAGGTTCTTGATTGACGTGCCCTTCAGCAACTTTCAGAGGAATCAAGCGTTGTTACTCAGCAAGCAGATGCCCAGGGAAGATCCGCATCCCAACAGAAAGCGGAAACAACTGCAGCGTGTCCAGCAGCTGTCCTCGGACCCGGCAAAACAACCTTGTCCCGTCTCCAAAGTCCTTTGAGCCAGTAACACAGGCTTTACGGTCCCCTTGAATGGCAACAGACAAGCGGAGAGGAGGAGGAGGAGGAGGAGGAGGAGGAGGAGGAGGAGGAGGAGGAGGAGGAGGAGGAGAGAGCAGGATGCATGGTACCTCACTTCAGGGAGGACAGATGCAGTGAGGAGGCGAGGATCAGCGTGTGTTGAGCGTAGAGAGAGTGAGCCATGCGCTGAATGAACGAGAGAGACAGAGTGTATGGGCTTCTGGCTCTGACTGACTGGCTGAGAGAACCGCAGTGTTTTCCACTATGGCGCCACACACTCACAGAGAGAGAGAGGAAGAGGTATGTGTGTGTGTGTGTGTGTGTGTGTGTGTGTGTGTGTGTGTGTGTGTGTGTGTGTGTGTGTGTGTGTTTACTTCAGGCTGGTTGGTTATAGTAGTCGATTTCAGTAACCTAAATGTGAACATCACAGCCATGCTTCACTTCACTGGCGAAGACTTATGAGGCATATTACTTGCCCACCCCCCTCTTTCTGATGTCTGCCATTACAGTGCAGTAACATTTAATTTGACAGTGCTTAATTCAAATCTATACATTCAACAAGCAATTTTTATTATTGCAATTGTGCTATTGTATATTACAGCCTATATTTCATTTAATAAGTAAGATAGACAGTCACTGACACCTCAGATCAGATGTTAAGTGGCAGATGAACAAGTGTTCAGGCAGCGCAGCGTCTTAGTTTCTTCCCCCACTGAGCAGTAATGTGACAATGCAGGATTTCATGGTTCATGGAGCATCCTAGAACCTTAAGGCCAGCATTTATTGATATCCTTGTGATTGCATTTGATAACAGAGAAAGTTAGTTTGGCAGGGCTCGGTCGTATGTGATGCCAAACTTGGGGTTTGAGCCAGTGGGTGGGTTGGGGCTGATTTTGAGAAATATTTTTTGTGAATAAATGAAATATATCCTTGTAGTCGATGTTACTCTTTTTAAGTGTTTTGCCTAACAATACTGCAATGTTATGCTACAAAAGGTTTTTGGCAAGTTACCTTCAGAGATCTCACAATGCGTTAAATTCAACACTAAATCATGATTTTATTGAATAATATTTGAAGCTAGAATAATTATTCAAGAAATATATCCCTTAAGGGGTTTTCTAATCACTTAGACTTCCACAAAATTGGAGCACTGACAAGTCATTTATTGAAAAATGTGAAAACTTGAAGCAAGACTGTCCAAGATATCCAGACCTTTAATATGGGAAAACATCCATAAATCCTCCTGGATCCTACATTTCCTAAAATGCAACTTGAGTAAGTAATGTGTTAGACCTTCCTTGCCTTGTAGTGCTTCCACCTATTAAACTCTCATCCTGAATAGCTTACTAGAAAGAAAAGGACCATTACATTTTATGTATTTTTTAAAACCACATTCCCCCTGTGCCATGAGCCATTCACATACAAGTATGTGACGGACCTGACATCATCAGGGTTAGTTTGAAGTTTTAGGACTTTCGAAAGCTCCCTTTAGGGCACCTAAATATGTTATGCAACTATACAAGTGTTTTCAAAGGCTGAGAGGCAATTCCTTCTGACGGGTAAACTGATCTTAATGCGTAAAATAATTGGAGTGCACATTTAAATCAAACAACTTTTTTTTTTAAACCCTGAAAAACTGCCATTTCTACATCTTCTACAGCTTGGCTTGATGATGTTCTGCGACGCTCTGGAGGCTTCGCAGTTGGACAAAGTTGCAAAAACCTCTCTAATGTCACCAGCTCCTCCAAGGCTTCAAATCCTTCCTGTCTATCCCATTAAAAAGTATGTCAGTCAAAAGAGTGAACTAGAACTGTTACATTGTGGCTGGAATCCCCAAAGGGCGATAACACTGTTACCCTGAGGCAAACCACTCTGATTAAATGTCTCCAGTAAGAACCTATAATAGAGTTCTGAAACTGTAATGCTTAGACACAAACCTCCATACGGCTCGTACGCATGTGTTGAAATTGCCACCATGATGCTGCACTGAATGCTTTTTCCAACCTAATCCTCGATTTCCCACAGTGTGGAACATCTGTCTGCTTGATAGCAATGTCTGTGTTGCTCCAACATGCTGCACATATCTATTTATATGCAGAGAACAGTGATGGCCACTATCAGCATTAGAATACATGTCACACTGTTACAGCTCTGTTAAACGATGTTTGTGTTGCACGTTTAACCCTTGTGTTTAAAAGGCTAGTTATCAGCACTAACCTCCCGTTGAGTGAATGAGAGATGATAAGGGGGGAAACCTTTCCAAGCTGTCTGTGACATCACTGCTGCAGCAGCACCTCTCGCTGCTAGATCACTTCTATGTATTTTCCTCTGCTATGCTTTTTCCTTCACATCTTTTGTCTGTCTGTTTACTTTGTTTTCTCTCATCCCTCTCTCCTATCTCTTCTCCCTAAATCACAATTTAACACACCACGCTCCCTCACTCCAAGTCCACAGTCTTTTCCCTATGCTGCAGATTAGACCGGCAGCCATGTGATTGTGATGCACAGCGCGTACAACACCACAGAGACAGAAATGGTGGTATAATCTGCCTTAATTGGGTTGTACTGAGTCTGTACACTCCTTTTACCACCACTTAATTAAATGCATGATTGCAAGATAACAATTTGAATTAATTGATTTAGATAAACATTTTAAGTTGCAAACATTTATTTATAAGTTGTGTTGATGTAATAATGTTGGTAATTACATCAACTTAATATTGTGTGTAATTTGAACTCGGATTTCTGCGTTAATTGACAAAATTCAAGTTGTAGTAAGTAATACAATTGGCTTGATCACTTAATTGTTCTACACCTTGAGTTAAGGATTTCAAGTCCACTCCCACTTAACATGCCTGGACAATTTCCGACAGTTAAGACTGTGTGTTCGAAGACATAGGTTGCGGTCGAATAGTCCATTTAGCTTAGGAACCTTCCTAACGGAGTGAAATGACCCGGCATTTGCCGTCACACAACAGTCGGCCGTTCACGGAAACAATCGATTATGAACGAGAAATGATATCATGAAAGTTACGGTTCCAAACGTATGTGGTAAGTTGCCAAAGTGCTTTGTTTTGAACGTTCATCAGTATTATAATCAAAAAGAGAAATATGAACGTTAGTTTTTACTGAAATGATCAAATAAAGTCAACATTTCACAGTCTTTACTGAGCTGTGTGGGGTTTGTTCAACTTTTAAAAAGATGTTTGAATGGTGATATACACAGTGATAGATGTTAAGGACTAACGTTTATAATACATACATTTGTATTGCTTTTAAGATCTTTTCATAGTTCATACAATCATACGTATTGGGATCATTTGTATTAATGTGGACCGGAGGGAGAGGGTGACGACGAGCATCAGTTTCACTTTCCTTTTTTATTTCAATTTGGTCATGAAGAATATGTTTCTCTGTTGTCCCCGTTCATAAAGCATAAAACAACAGCATCAGAGCATGGTGCAGAGTTTACAGTAGTCCCTCGTTCTCAGTGGCGTTTTTATATGTACAAAAGTGGTGGGGCACAAAAAACTTAGATGTCTATATATAAGCTTCTGCAGTGACGTGCAATGAGGTTCATGGCTGGTGAGGCACTGGCACTGACTCTTCAGGTTTACAAATATTATATTTTGACCTAAACCAAAATATAATATTATTTTCAAAAGCTTTTTTTGTCTGATGCTTCGATTAATTTTAAACAGACAGTTCAACAAAAGGATACCCAAAAAATGTCATTTTATCATTTAAATATTGAATTGTTCTCTCTTAGTAAGATCCCATTTTCAATAAAATGGCGGTCTTACCTTGACTTGAAGATGAAGTCCATTTGCCTATCCTTCTGGACAAACATTTCTATTACTTTTTTGTAAAAGTCCTCCTTATGTTCTTGTAGTTTCAAAAGTCTATCATAAATCTAATCCATAGATTTATGATAAAAAAATTATATAAGTAGGGTAGACATGTGGATGTTATCCGGCTAATCAAAACGTGCATTTATCTAACAGGTACGTTTCCCACAGATCTTATTTCGAGCTATTTTCTAAAATCCTCTGGAGAAATCTCATTGCTTTTTTGTGCTTACTTCCTGGTTTTAGGACGCGCCCCTGCAGCTCTCTCGTCTCCTCTTCACACAGCACACTTTTCGCGGCACACGTACTTACAGCCAATCAGCTCTGAATGATTTGAGATGACGTATGGCGGGGATGGTAGCTCCATGCCCCTCTGGTCATTATTTTTTTGCCACACACATTTCATTACAAAATACTCTGAGCATGCGCAGTGTAGTTTTTACAGTCACCGTTGACTTCACAGCGAGAGGAAGGGGCATAATCAGGTTTTGTCCCACATGGCTCTAAACAGCTCAATAGGCACACACTGTGACTGTAGACACACTAATTAGAAGAACACAGACTAAAACAGCAATGTACAGACGAATCAGATGATTAAACATGATCTTAAAATATATTTTATATATTTTTTTATTTTTTTTTTTGCATTTTTGTAATCATTATTTGTAATACTTTCTGCTGACACTAGGTGGGGCTGTGCCCCACCTGGCCCTAATGACCAGTCGCCACTGCTCGTTCTTATTAAACATCCCTGTTGTAGTCCGCTGTATAGAAAACTGTAGTTTCCATAGTTTCCCCACCGCAGCAGGCGCACATTTATGACCTCCGCTGGCGCATCATGAACACGTCGGATAGTGAAAGTGCAGTACCGCAGTCTCTTCTCCTAAATCCTTTTGAATTCTCCTATCCACTATCCCTTAACCCCATGACGTTTCACTCCGAGGTCAAGGAATAGACGATAGGGTTAGAACTTAGGAGCTGTTTTTTTGGAGTATTCGACCGCAACCATAGACTCAAGAAATACTATACAAAGGACATTTTAAAGGTGAGTGGCATCTTTTGTCATTCAAATACATTAGATAGCCTTGTAGTTGCACTGTATAGGCAAATTGCTGTTTGACCACAATTAGCAGCCCTTTAGAGTGTTTATTGTGTGTGTTTCTTGCTCATTTCATGCAGTGTTGCTTTTATATCTAGAGAAACCTGCAGGAAGACCTGTTACGTATGGTATCTGTATTGTAAAAAATACTTTGGTTACTATTGTGATATAACTTTTTATTAAAAAAAAGTCTTGGTATTAAAGGCTGCATTACATCTATGTCAAGATGTGTAAAGTATCGTAATCTGATTCTGTCAGTGCCACCCAGACATACGTTTATCTACTTGATGTTAAGACTTTGCATCAACAGTAAATGCAAAGATACTATGCCATTCTAGGCTGATTGGTATCTTGTAAAGTTGGCCCATATCGAAACAAAATGGGCTGGAGATGCAAAATATGTAAATTTGAAACCTCTGCAAAAACAGGGTTGCTAAAACATTACAGGTTATGCCATGGTCATGGTGGTCAACCTCTGCCATGTCTTTATCCAGATTGTTTTTGTTTCTTAAAAACATGGGGTAGCCTTAGATCACATCTATCAAGAAATCACTCTCAGGAAACTCAGGAAAGAGTCAGAACTGCAGGTTTCTCTTTCACTTGCCAGTGTTGCAGTACCAGCACAATCTCCACAGAAAAGAGAGCTTTTTGAACACCTTGGTCGACATTTGAAAAAAAATTATACTGTCATGTTAGTGCTGAAAGTGCAATGTTAGTGCACTTTCAGCACTAACATTTACGGAACATTTGCCTCCCACAGAAGCCGAAAGCATACTCCTCACTCACTGCAAGACTTTAAAGAAGACCTGCTAAAGAGGTAAGCAAGTTGTTCAAATACAGATGATTACAGTGATGTAGATGTTCAGGATGGTGAACTGTCTATTACTGATGATGGTCAAGATAATGGTGAGAGATCTACCAAACCTCATTGAAAATAATTTGGCGGTTGACTGGTATTTTCTTTCTAAGTGACTTCTCTTGGAACGGAAAACCAGTCAAAAATAATGTGTAATTTCAGTGACTTGCTTTTTACCACTGTATGTCAGTTCATACAGATGTAGGAGTTGAACTCTTGAACTAATGTGTTGTAGTATAAATGAAGGCAGTATAGCTAATTGTCTGCAATATTTAATTATTCTGTTTGTTTGGTCCACAGATAAATGACGAATTCAAGAGAATAACCACCGTAAGCCTTGAATCAACTGGGGAGGAGCTACTGGAGTGAGAATCAGGCAGATCAAGGACATGCTTCTTGAGGTAGGATCATTATTTAGAGTTGTCATTGAATTGCAAGTTGTTGGCAGTCACCCATTCAGAATATATTAATTTAGGTTATTTCTCTTTTTTTCCTTTTTCATAAATAGCACAATACAATTGAGAACTAGTCATCCGCTGCCTTGTCGTGTACCTTGGAGAAAAGGAAGAGGACCTTCTCAAGGAGTTTAATGTAAGTAATTCAACATCTTGAAAGAAAATGAAATCCATGGGCGGAGTGTAAAAACACAGGGCAAAAGCACGGCTCTCTGTCAGTTACAATTTGAAGCATATTGCACTTTTGGCAACACCCCAATCAACAATATCTTAGAAATGTTCAGCATGGATAAGTGTTGACAGTAATGGCATGGGAAAATGATCGTGTAGAATTTGACAAGTGGCTTTTGCTCTTCACTTAACCAGTTCAAATATTGTATGGAACCTGCAAAAAAGATGAGAAAGCACACTAAAACTTGCACAGTTGTGATTATATCGCGATGACAAAATCTGCCCACAGGCATTTAAACCCTAGGCAAAGTACTCAAAACCACCTCTGTGTGTCTTCAGGACCACGTTGCCATGATGACACACACATGCAGACTCACAAGGTGAAAACAATACCAGCGTCGCTTTAGCAGCTGGTAATAATGGCTCTGAATTCACTAAGAGCGACAGTTTAAAAAGTATGCAATCACCTAATTCATTATCTTTTATACGCTAACCTATCATTTAATTTGCTTCAAAAGAACACAAAAGAGTTCGAGGCAGACCTTGATGGACAAGTGATGAATACCACCCCAGGATCTGACCATACGATGGCAACCATCGTGGTCGAGGGAAACAAAGTCGTTGAGGGAAAGGATATCCCAAGGTGCTGTGCTTTGCTGATGGGCATAATATATGCTCTGAATCTGAGCTGTCGGTGTAAACATCTTTGTTACATCTTTTGTAAAATTGATGTGTGTGATCTGCAGATTGGTGGTTACTGTAGTTTTACAAAATGTTTACAAAAGTTCTAGAAAATGATTTTAAAACTAGTTACAACATTTTACAGCTTTTACCTTGGCACTGGTTTTAAATATGCAAAGGCCTATAACTTTGATGTGATGGCAGAATTGATGTGCTGTATCCCCTTTCATTTCCCATGGTAATATGGCTAATATGTTTATTTAACATTTGTGGGGCAATTTAAATTTGTGTTAATTTTTTTTTTTTCTCAAGATTTAAATATCATGTGTTGAAATACACAACTGCAGTTCAAAATAAAAAAGTGAATTGTCTAACATTTTTGTTGTTGAATTAGTTAATTTCTTAATAAATGGCCCATTACGTGACTATTTGTGTTGGGGGGGGCCCCGACTTATTTTTTTCTCCAAAGGGGGGGCCTGACAGAAAAAGTTTGAGAACCACTGATCTAGTGAGACTGCTATGTGAAGGCCTGGAAACAGTGCAGTGTTTAGTTGACTGCCTTCGCTCCATTCATGGCCAGATTCATACTCCACAATATTCTAGGTCAAATAACTATAAAATAGTGTTTCTAATGGTATGTGACACTCTGAGTCTTGTTTTGTTGATAATCTCTTGGAATCAAACTGTTTATAGCTTTTAGGAGACACAGCATTGCCCAAAGTGATTCTCTAAACAGTCCCTCTTCTTTTCTTTAACCCTCTCTGTCAGAACAGTTCATTCACCTTGTTCCTAACGGACCCAAAGGAACGCCTTGGAGCAGGGGTGTCAAACTCAAGGCCCGGGGGCCAAATCCGGCCCGCGACTTCATTTTATGTGGCCCGCAAGAGCTTGCAAAGAATATAATACGTTTATTATACGGTTACATGCTACTTTACAGTATATCTATATATGTTCATTTTAATTAATTTCTTATTTTATAGTTATTTATCATTTTTAATTTAAATTTTTGATTTATCCTTAATTTCATTAATCTGTGTGAATATGTTCTGTCCTGTTTTTCAATCTCACCCTGTTGCTGTTAAACTACTGAATTTCCCCACGGTGATTAATAAAGGTCCATCTTATCTTATCTTATCTTATCTTACAGAAGCATGTTGCCCATAAACTATATGTCCCACAATGCATCTCATTTTGTGACATGCGACTGAAGAGACTTGCAATGATTTGCCCTAGACTTCTGCTTTCAGACGTAGTTAATTATGAAGTTATTACCCTATCCAATAATAATCCAATGCAGAGGAAATAATGTAATATAATACATTATTTCATATATATTATGTATTTGTATATGTATATTTATATAGTCTTAAAGTTACAACCGGCCCTTTGAGTGCAACCATAAAGCTGATGTGGCCCACGATGAAATTGAGTTTGACACCCCTGCCTTGGAGTTTCTAACCTCTACAAACCAGGATGGAGGTTAACCTGAAGGTGTGGGAGACCCAGGCCTGGCCGGAGGTCTCTGAGAACAAAAGATGGACTCCTCTCAGGTAAAGTTCAACACTTTATTAAAGATCAAACAAATCATCTCTTAAAGGTACAGAGTCTGATAGAATCAAAAAGACACAACAAAACCCGTCAAACATTTCCTACCATTCACTTATCAATAACTATATATTAGCTTGTATGCAGGTATTATTTATTGTATGCATCCACTGACATCATATTCTTATCTCGTCTGATTGGAAAATACCAGCTGCTCCCTCTCCCTCTATCAATAATGGATTATAAGAATCATAAATCAATCATTTTGAGTATGTATAAGTACTTGACATGTAAGAGTCAATAATAATAAGAATGTAAAACATAAAATGATTCTTTGATGTGAACATTAGAGTATGATGGCTGAAGAAAATTAATAGAGAAACTCCCTCTGGAGGGAACACAGGGATTTGAGCCTTTGCAGACCATTAACGTGCACTAACACCTGTAGTACACACTACAGGAGAGGGACACATGACATTACATACCATTTAACTGACGCTTTTATCCAAAGTGACTTACAATAAGTGCAAAAATCCTAAATAATCTAACTCTGAACAGCAAGGAAAGTGCAGATATATTAACTTCAAGCTAAATCATACCATATTAAGAGCTCAGATACATGGGTTAAATTAACTCAACAAGTGCCTCTTTTTTCCCCTTTTTTTCACCACAGAAGAAGAATAGGGCCTCTTTAAAAAACCCTGAGACCTGCTGTATTCATTTCAGAGAGAAGCAGCACGTGTTGTGATGATGGCCAGGGGTCTTTCAAAGGTTCTACTGTTTCTTTTTCTCTTCATTACCATACTTTCTGGCTCCTGATACTTCTTCTACTAGCACTGCTGCTGCTGCTCCTAATGCTCCTACTGTTCCTCTAACTAGTCCTACTACTGCTCCTATCTCTGCCCCTGTTGCTGCTCCGCTTACTTTTCCTGATGCTGCATCTGATCCTCCTACTGCTCCTACTAGTGCTCTGATCTTTGCTCCTGTTGCTGCTCCTCTTACTTGTCCTGATGCTGCCCCTGATCCTACTACCACTGCTGCTCTTCCTACAGCCCTTGCTCCTGTTGCTGTTCCTAATGCTGCTCCTACTGTTGTGCCTGCTCCTACTACTGCTCCGATCCCTGCTGCTGTTCCTACTGATGTTCCCATTCCTGCTGCTACTAATGCTCCGATTCCCGCTGCTGGTAATGCTACCACTCCTGCTACTGCTGCTACTACTACAAGTCCTCCTAACAACAAATAAGGTTCCATTTTCTCCCCTACGCGTTCTTTTATGTCACCACCACCTGAAGCACCTGACAGGATCCTTCCATCTCTAAGGAAAGTCTCAGCCATCCTGAACCACTCGTTGGTGTAGTACTGTCCTCCGTTAGCTGAGATCATCTCATCTATCTTAGACAGGAAGGTTCTGACCTGCTCTCTGCTTCTCTTGGTTTTGTTGTCAAACACACAGTATCTACCTCCACACATGGAGACCAGCTTGGAGACATGTCTGTTGGACTGGATCAAACCCTCAATGGACTGACCTTTGAGGTTGTCTCCATGAGTGAAAAGCACCATGGAGTACTTCAGAACATCGCCTGCAAAGAGTTTAGGAAGGAGCTCAAACAGCTTGATGTCTGCTTCAGTGATTCTGCCTACTCTGACCACGATAACAAAGGCATGTACTCCTGGACTCGCCTCTACCACAGACCTCATGATCTGCAGGTACAACTGTTTTGGAGTCAGATATTTATCAGTGAACCCTGGAGTATTGACCACCGTGACCTTACAGCCCTCCACTGTGGCGGATGCAGAGGTCGTCTTTTTACTGACTAAATCAAACCCAGCAGCTGATTTGAACTTCTTAGATCTCAGGATGGTGTTTCCAGAGGAACTTTTCCCAGCTCCAGGAAGACTGAGCATCATAATCCTCTTCTCTTTGGAAACACCAGCTGGAAGACAGAACCCAGGTCATAATTAACAGTAAATCTCTGTACAAGTATCGTCAGTAAAACAGCTCTAACCAGAAAATGAGTTTTTCTCTGAATAACAAACAGCTGCTGGTCTCAAGCACTTTAACATCTAACACCAGCAGCTGATAGGATTCAGTCTGAACGTATGTTACAAGGTCATCCAAAGACGTTACTGAACGTTAATAAAGTCGCTACTGAACATTAATAAAGACATTACTGGACGTTAATAAAGACGTTAGTGAATATTAATAAAGACGTTAGTGAACATTAATAAAGAGCATGGGACCGAACAGCACCTGGTGAATCAGGTTGATCCTCAGTTCTCAGGTGGCCAGACTTCAGCAGCAGATTTCGGACTTGTTCTTCATCATCAGACTCATTGTCGAAGAGCTGATAGGCCCCCGAGAACATTTTAACAACATTCGGAAGGTTAGCTTCATCTCCTTCTGCAAAGATGAAATCCGCCAAAGTCTTTCCCTCTAAAGCATCTCCTCCAGTGAAGAGGAGGTAACTCTTCTTCATCCCTCCGTCCCCGAGGACTTTCATTGCTGTGTTCAGCGCCTTCTGGTCTTCCTCTGTGAAGCGTCCGACTCTGAGGGTCACCAGAAACAGACAGCGCCTGGAGGACTTCAGGAGATCCTGACAGAAGTCTTCAGTCTTCTCTGTGAACTCACTGTCTAATATTCCTGGAGTGTCGACCACTGAGATCTGTTTCCCAAACACACTTCCTGTTTGTTCAGAGATTTCTGTCGTCACTGATTTGAAAGACAGCTCAGACTGAAACGTTCCTTGTCCCAGGATGGTGTTTCCTGAAGCACTTTTACCAACTCCTGTTTTACCAAGCAGGACGATGGTGAGATCTGGATCCATGACTGAGGATCAGAAAACCTGCAGGAGAAGAGCATCAGATTCAGGAAGGTACAAAGACTTTAGTTTTGTCTGTGAATATTACTTTAACTGTTAGTGTCAAAAACACGTAAACAAATGAATTATTACAGGTCCTAAAACATTTTCAAATATTTTAAGCACAATTCTCCTCAGACAGATGAAAAATACTATGAACTAGGGATGTAACGATACACTCAACTCACGATACGATTTTCTAACGATTTTCTCACGATTTCTTCTTTTTTTTTTAACAGCATGAGCAAATATTTTTGTATTTATATAAACTGTACAAAACAACGTACATGTTCTCATCAAAAGTGCAACTGAAACTGTAAACTGTGCAACTGTATTTTATCTTAAATAACAAAAAGATACATAATTGAATTTTGAAAACAAATCCCACATCAAAATGACACATATTTCTTTTTATTTATGGATATTTTACTAATAACTCTAAACTGTATTTTTTTTTTTCACTGTCCTATAGTACACATTAGAATGATTTCTTACGTTGTTTTTTACACCTATATTAAATAGATAAAGGTGTGCATTGGAAATATGTGTTTACATAAATGACCAAACAGTTTTAGACTGAGATAACTTAGACCAGGGGTGTCAAACTCAATTTCATCGCGGGCCACATTCGCATAAAGGTTGCACTCAAAGGGCCGGTTGTAACTATATAAATATATAATATATATATAAAATAATGTATTATATTACATTATTGCCTCTGAATTGGATTATTATCGGATAGCATAATAACTTAGTAAATAACTACGTCTAAAGCAGAAGTCCAGGGCAAATAATTGCAAGTCTCCTCAGTGCGCATGTCACAAAACGAGATGCATTGTGGGACATGTAGTTTATGGGCAACCTGCTTCTGTAAAGTGGCATGTAACCGTATAATAAACGTATTATATTCTTTGCAAGCTCTTGCAGGGCCACATAAAATGAAGTCGCAGGCCGGATTTGGCCCCCGGGCCTTGAGTTTGAGACCCCTGACTTAGACTAAAGTGACTATCTAAACCAGGGGTCGGCAACCCCTGGCACGCGTGTCAGGATTGGCACGCGACACCGTAACCAGTGGCACACTAGGAATAAGTGGAATAAGTGTGCAAAATATTTAAATTGTATTTTTTACATCACAGACCTCTGTTTTTCTGCTGCCTCGTTTCACTTCCAGAAACAGACACACGCTCCCTCACTGTCGCTCTACCATCCACACACACACATGCACACGCCACGCCCCTCTCTCTCTCTCTTAAAGGGACAGCGATCTCATCTCACTCTGCATGACCCTAATATCATAACATGTGTGTTCTGGAGAATCACAGAACGGACGATCGTCCTTATTATTATGCCGTTTAAACCAATTATTTAAATGTGTTTGTTAAATTCGGCATCATGTAAGTTGTGCTGACAGGTCCACACACTGCTTCCCCGCAGCGAGGCTCCCCCCCCCTGTTGATAACAATTACTTTTGTTAATGACACTTCATATCAAAAAGGTTGCCGACCCCTGATCTAAACCCTCAGAGAGTCCTTTACCTCCCTGAGCTGTAGTTATCAGCCTCTCAGTCTGACAGGAGAGAGCTCTGCCTCTCCTTGTTGTATTAACAGCTCTTTATACCTGTTAGCGCAGCTAGCACCAGATGCTAACAAGTAACAACAATCCCAGTAACTGGTGCACGTTCTCTCTCGCTCGCTCGCTTTTTAACCGGTTCACGATGCATTGTTACATCCCTACTATGAACTAAAGTATGAAAAACAGAAGAACAGTAGTTATATTGTATGAATAGTGCTGGAACTGTTATGGATTGTACACATACAATAAACACTGTCAGGATGACTTTTAACTGTAATATCCCAATGTGTTCTTTTAAATATTGACAGAAAGGCTGACTGTAGTAATAATAAAGAATAATAAATGACATGTAATCATTTAACGGTGGGGTAGGTAATTTTGGAGAAACCAGCTCGAGTGTGCTAGAATTTGAAAATACACAGCCGGAAAATATCTGCTACTTCCTTCAGACTTCCTCACAGAGCCCCTCCTCCAACACACACAAACGCGCACATGACCAATGAGGGCACGAGATAAGTTTGTGCACAGATGGAAAGCTGGCAGGCAGGTAGGCCATCCAGTTATTTTACCCGGGCCGGCTAAAATGATTGGTTGTGCTTTTTACAACGCCTCAGCTTCCACAGATGACATTTATTTATGTATTTATTGTCAAAGCATTTAATATATTCATTGCTATCTCGGGATGTTAAGAGCATTCCATGGAACATAACAAAAAGTGTTTCTGAAATAAATTACATACCCCACCTTTAATGAAGAATTTCTTGGGAAAAATGTGTGGTGTCAAACAATGTTGGCAAGTTCAACATTGGAATTTAAAATATTCGTATGGCCCAAAATTGTAATTGCCGACAGTAGTGTGCCTCACAGGGGGCACCAACTTACACAGATATATTGTTCTTTATAGTATAAACTGTATACTATTAACTGTGTTAATCATTTTGTAATATTAAAACGGCACATATTAAAAAAATAAAAGGAATAATAGCCAATCAATGTATTTTTAATAAACTTCTAGCCATTTTGAACAAATAATGAAAGTAGAATCAAATACTAGCACACCACATTTACCCAAGGGTTTTTATCTACTTGCAAACACTTCTAAAGCTATGCCAGGGTTATAGGAGCATCTTAGTGTTCAGTATCTTGTCCAAGGACACTCCTACATGTTGTCTGCAGAAACCGGGATCAAACTACCAACCCTCCTATCAGGCATGAGCACAGGTAGACCTCAACGGGGGCTGGAGCCCCTGACCTTTGGCCTCCTATCAGAGAAATGCAAATGTATTTGTAATGTATGTTTTTTGAGTTACCCAGGTCACAAAAGGGTTGACCACACAGGACTTTCTAAGCCAATTGTAACGCAAAGCTGTCAACATGGCTTATGCCTTAGCCAATCAGAATGCAGGTCCGCAGCACCGTAGGCGGGCTTTACTGCAAACGCTCGTCTGACGCACAGTATTTAAAATATCTCAATTTGGTCCACATTGACCAACCACAAGACTAAAATGCTATAACATGGATACAAATACCATCCTATAATAACCATAATCAGTGGCGGCTGTTGGAATTTTTTCTAGGTAGGGCTGTGCTACATGCAATCAATTTCAGCAAACATTTTTTTTCAGTGTTCATTTACCAGTCTTACATTTTAATGCCTCCATAAACCTTTTAAGCATTTGAGACTGAGGACTATGTACAAAAACTTAAAAACAATGGCATTAGCAATACTTGCATACATATATGTATGTATATATATATTACAGAACAAAGGTATAATATTACAGAACAAATGTATAATCAACAGTAATACAAAAAGCCGTAGATGTAACAAACTAATAATAATTATTCTTATTCTTAAATCAATGTGGTGTAGGTCTTTGACGTGCCTTTAAAAACGGTGGCGGTCTGCAGGTGCTCCTCCAGCACAGTGTGCAGGAAACAAAATCCTCCAGTACCCTGAAAATGCCAGGGTTGACTGAAGAGTCTAGTCATGCCCACGCAAAGCCAACTCAAAAGCCCCACAAAACTTATTTTGGATAAAATATGCCTGTTTTTATCCACCTCCTCATTGTGTTTCCTCACCTCCTGTGGGCGTCGTCCAGCTGCGTAGCAGTTGCTTACTTGGGGTGATGCAATAATCGCCCCTCTGGAAATAGTTTTGAGGATGCTGTTTGGCTACATTTTATGACACACGCTCATATCTTGAATCAGTGATTGGCTAACCTGCTACAGAGACCCTCCTCCGTGGGGCTCCATCGCCCCAGAGCTGAATTTCAGTCATACAGTGTACTAGGAAAAGCATATATTTAGCGCAAATTATTTTAAAATCATATTTTACACTTCTGGGTGCATTCCATATTTTAAACACTCAAATATTGACCATTTATATAATTAGTATTATCGCACCCTATTGGCCAGCCGCCACTGACCATAATAAAAAAATACTGTGAAAAGATCCGTTCTGCAGAAGGAGTACTTACTTTATGTATTTTTCATACTTGAAGTATACCTAACTGATAATACTTAATTTAATTCTGAAATAGGCCATCGTGCACAAGGAGTACTTTTACTTTATGAACTTGAATATGTTATTTATATAAAATACTTAGTTATTAAATTATCATAATGAGAATCAGAATCTCTTTATTAGTCCCACAGCGGGACATTTACAGTGTTACAGCAGAAGTGGCATAGCAGGTAAGGAGGAGTGGTTAGGGAAGGAGACAGGAGATGTTTTTCTTGATCATGTGTTTAGAGTTAGCGATGCTGCTGAACCGGTTCAGAGTCTGATAATAACTGCAAGCTGCTGCACGTTGTGTTTCATTGTTTGAATAAAATAAACATTGATCGTCATCATTCTTTACAATATGTCTAAATGTTATTCCCTCAGTTCCCCCACCCTCCCTGTTATCGTGAAATCTGATCTTGAGTTTCCTCGTGCCATCGGGGCGTGTTTCTCGCGTTGTGTTTGTTGCTTTGTTTGTTTCCTGTTTAGCTGTGTTTGTATCGGCTTTACTTTTATTAATGTTCACCTTTTGATTCCCTTCCTGAACCGTGACAATTCCCTCATTCATCCCTCACTTTGAAACTCCAGTAGTTACAGTTTGAACGTCATTTCTGACTTTTATTATTACATTTGAGTTCTCCGCACTTTCTCAGTCAATAGAACCGTATCTTAAAATCTGAACTTCAATGTCTTTCTCCTACTGAATCTGTTTTTTTACAGATCTCTTCTAACAGAAACTTCTGAACACACATTTGAAAAGTATTTTATTCATCATATATTTAAGTTGAGCAAGTTAATGAGTGCGACTACATATTTAGTTCTTTATCTTTATATATAATATATTATCTATAGACTGGACACTCACCTGTAGACAATAATCAGGATCGCCTCGATGTCTCGTCTGATCTGCGCTCCCTCTGAAAGTACGCTGTATGTGATCAGGAGTCATCAGATCGAGTCACGTATTTACAGCCACACCTAAACCTGATGTACCGGTCAAACTGAACTGATCACTGATCTCCTTCAGCCTCCACACTTTCCCAGAGCTCTTTATTTTAAGATGTCAAAGCCTATCATTTAATTTGCTTCAAAAGAACACAAAAGAGTTCGAGGCAGACCTTGATGGACAAGTGATGAATACCACCCCAGGATCTGACCATACGATGGCAACCATCGTGGTTGAGGGAAACAAAGTCGTTGAGGGAAAGGATATCCCAAGGTGCTGTGCTTTGCTGATGGGCATAATATATGCTCTGAATCTGAGCTGTCGGCAGTGTAAACATCTTTGTTACATCTTTTGTAAAATTGATGTGTGTGATCTGCAGATTGGTGGCCATTAAAAGTCTGTTACTGTAGTTTTACAAAATGTTTACAAAAGTTCTAGAAAATGATTTTAAAACTAGTTACAACATTTTACAGCTTTTACCTTGGCACTGATTTTAAATATGCAAAGGCCTCGAACTTTGATGTGATGGCAGAATTGATGTGCTGTATCCCCTTTCATTTCCCATGGTAATATGGCTAATATGTTTATTTAACATTTGTGGGGCAATTTAAATTTGTTTATTTTTTAACACTTAATTAATTAATTTCTTAATAGGCAAAAACATGAAAAAGCTAAAAAGACTATTGAATAAAATATATTTGGAGCAACTTAATTTATAAATGGTTGTCAACTTAAAGACTTGTGTTCACAATGATGGTAATTAAGTACATACAACTTAAAATTCCTTTTAAATAATGTGGTAAAACTAATTGGAACAACTTTTTTTGTAATAAACTTAAAAACTTGTGTTTATGCTACCAATTATTAAGTAAGTGGTAATTAAAAACACCTCTGATTGTAGAGGAAAAGCCTTCTCCCCTAACTCAAATAAGTTTGTTGGTTTAACACAATTTCATTAGAAGTTGTCATAACTCAATAAACATTGATGCAAACTGTTGCGTTGATTTTCTTTGTTGAGCCAAAGCATTTGTTTTTAGAGTGAGACACAACAGTCACAGTAACTATGCGCCACACATTTTCACTCGACAGAAAACATGCATGAAAGGCTGAAGGAGGATTTGATTCTAAAAAATGTTACTGAAGATGCAAGGTCATCATCATCATTTCATCATTCTTTAGCAACAACACCAAAAGCATCAATTTCGTCATTATGACATTTCCCATTGGCATCATTATTAGCTTCTGCCATGACTTCATCTCAGTTTGAAACCTATGGTGACACTGATGAATGCTGACGTGCATTATAGCAGCGCCTACAGAAGCCTAGTGACCTTATGCAGCTGGCCAGCAGGCATATGTCCTTATATCAGAGGCGATATTCAATGACAGAAGAAAGAGGATGCAGAGATATTTATTTTCGAATGGTCAAGCACCAAGTGGCTTATACATTCAGTATTGAGGAAATGTTAATGTACCTGCAGAATTCCAACCTTAGGATAAACGACTTCCCAGCTCAATTTGAGTTTTAGCTTTTATGTTTCAGGTGTGTTGAAACTAAATATGTTTCGGGTATCAGCTCAATCGTAAATGCACTGGAGAGATGGTTGATTTTACAATGAAAGACAAAATACATGTGAAATCACAATTTAACATTGTTTTGTGACATACATGCAAAGATATGTACAAATAAGTAATGTTATTATGTTGTCATCAGTAAAGCATGAATTATAGTGCCAAAAAGATTTTAAAAAAGGCTATAAAATAATTTGTTCAACATTTTGGGATATAGGCCTATTGGCTTTCCTGCATAGAGTAGAATTTATGTAACTTCCGCATGTCGGTAGGCTAAATTTGAAGCTAGATTTAGCAGGTTTTAGCTAAGTGAAGTGAGAGGACTGGAATCAGGGAAACAGTTAGCTTGGCTCTGTCTGGTCAGATAGTGTTTTTTGCTTGGAAAGAATTCTGTAAAATGGCCCGTAAGTGGCAGCCAAGAGCTGTTTAAATTCACAAAAAGCCAAGGAAAGGAGCTTCAATGATTTTCATATCTCCTTTAGCATAAAGAGAACACTACTATCCTTTATTACAAACAAGTAAACAATACCAACAATACCTTGCAACAGCAGAATGGACAGCAGAGGTACCATTATGCTGTACATGTAATTGTAAACTTTGGATACATTGAAACCATCCTGCTTAGGAGGTGGTTTGAAAATGTGTCTTAAATTGTGCAGCATTGAGTTTTTCACTGTAGGATATATTTTTTAAATAAAGTTACTAAAGCTCAGTGTTGTATTAAGGTACAGTCAGTGTTTTGCTAGCTGTTTTTAGCTAGCTAATAAAAACAGCAAGTAAAGTCAAGCTAGTCCATGATCAGTTAGTGGTAGATTAGGGATCTGCCCATATGAAGAGGTTGGGAACCACTAATAGTGTGCAGTGGTTCTCTATCACAAATTGATGATTTGCTTCATTAGCAAATACTTTTACATGTACACTTTCCCAATCACCCCAAATCATGCAGGCCAAAAATACAACTTTACAAAATTCCAAAAATATTTTTGTTGCAGTAGTACATCAAATTCCTGTTTCTATCAAAGTCTTGTGAAAATGTATACAATTTATAATTATTCGTTTTTTCTAGTCAAAGCTAGCTAAAGCTTTTGTAATTGTCCTCACCTCATGTGTTGCAGGGTATACTTCCTGTTGTGATGTTTGCCCCGCCCACCTGTGTGATGTCACACCAATGATTTGGCAATTTGGATAATGTGTTTTCACAGCCAGAGCTTAGCAAAACAATGCAAATACGTGTATTTTGAGTAATGTAAGTACAATCTTAGAACAAGCCTTCAAAAACAAACAATTGTGTTGAAGTAAAATTGTAATTGGACTAACTAATCAATTTAATTAAGCAAATGTAACACACCAGCTACGCACCCATCAAAAATTGGATCCTGAAAATTGTCACATTTCAGAAACTGTCCAAAAAAACGTATTTAATGACATATCATCACATGCCTCATTACATGTTCAAACCCTCAGTCGTTCTTCAGTACTGAAACCTGCAGCCAGTGAATATAAAGCAGCATGTCTGATCATGTCTGATGGTGGCCTCATGCGCCTCGAACGTCAGGTCTAATTGTGGATGGGAATTAGTGCCGGGTCTCGCTGTGCAGAGAAGAACTCTTCCATATCAGGAGGTGATGAAGCATTGGGTAATAAAGAGGACAGGGACCCCGCTGAGCAGAGTTAAACTTTAATCTTTACTTAAAGTGGTTTATAAATGACACCAATTAGAGGAAATTGACAAACAGCTGATTGTGCTTGAACTCAAATCACATCAAGATCCCCAAAAAGTTGCAGTTCATTCAACAGAATCAACATGATAAGCTGAAATGATGCAAAATATAAGTCAATATTAGTGCAGGCTGTAAATCTCTTACATGATCTGTTATCCATATCAGATAATGCAGCATGGCCATATGGTATTTATGCACTGAATGTATTTGAAATCTGAAAAAGTGCATGCACCATTCTTCAGAACAAAATATCCTACCTGTACACCATGCTGGCTCTAAGTTGTGCAGATGCTTGAAAATAATGGCTGTGTACATAAAGCTCCTCCAAACCCTGCTGCTCTCGAGGTCTGCTGGCGTCGAAGCTTCCTGGAAGGCAGCTGGTGGGGCTTGAGGGGTGAACCCTGGCTCCGGCCCCCTGCCTCTGTTGGATGGAACTGGGGAAGCGATCCAGCCTTGGCCCCCCTCTCTGCCTGGGCACGGGGGTCTCACTGCACGCTGCCTTGAGATACATGTTTGGATCGACCTTGTCTCCCACAGGCTGATGGCACACTTTCTTTAGTTAGCTAATCCTTTTCAATATATTTAGTCTTGCTGTGGAGAGAATGTGGCCTTAAAACATCTCCATGTAAGTACAATGCAATGCTAGTCATGCGGAATCATATAGGATATCAGTATTAGTTTGCTACAGAGTTTTAATGACCTGGACCAAGAGAGATACAGTATACCTAACTTTTAATAAATGCATGAACAGAAAAAGACAAAAAAAGAAAATGCTCACATTTAACACACAAACTATAACAGAGGAAAGTAAAGAAAGGAGATCAGAGACATCTGCGTGCCATACCTGTGACGTCAACTTTATTCTTAGATGATTGACAAAATAAAGACAAAGGCAGCTTTTGTTTCTGTTCCTGGCGGCTCCAGCCAAAGAAACCTGTTCGTCTGTGAGGCAAGCCAAACAAAGCAAGAGGGGTATTTAGGTCAACGTGTACATTTCAGACATATTTTCTTGATATATCTGCTATGTTTGGCCTACAGCCAATTAGTTGCAGCTGAGATCAATGTCTAGTCCAGCAAGTTGGTACATGATGTCAAAAACAGAAATGCAGCAACACCAGGATCCTTTGTTTTAAAGAAACGGAACATATGAAACCTGATGTGTACAGCACTCACACATTGAGCCAGGTAACAAGTAACAATAAGATAAGATAAGATAAGATGGACCTTTGATAAGCCCCGTTGGAAGCAACAGGGTAAGATTGTAAAACAGGACAGCACAGATTCACACAAGATTAAAGATTAATAAAATAAAAATGATATACAGGTAAGAAACTTTTAAAATAAGAAATGAATTACATAAGATAAGATAAGGTAAGATGGTATTTTTGATCCCAATTTGGGAAATTGTTTTTGTTGCAGCAACATAAAAGACAAGGCATTTTACAATAAAACAAAACTACAAATAAACAAGAATAGAAAGAAAAGAAAAGAAAATAGAAAATATACATGTAGATATTATATATACAAATATATATATACATAAATATATGACATATGGAATATGGAATATTAAATATAAAATATTGAACAGATTATATATGTGTAAAATGTACAACGTGGTTATATTTCAAGAGAAACTATGGAGCAGAGAGTTCTCTTCCAGCCAGAGGTGATTTATTGTACAGTGAACATAATGAACATAATACACTGAGAGAGGATGACCACAA